GCAGCTGTCTCTCTGACCTGGGAGCAGGCAAAGATGAACTCAGGGTTCTGCTCCATCAGCTGCAGGGCAGTCACCCAGCTCCGGGCACATTTCCTCATGGTCTCCTTGAAGGGCCAAAGCCAGGCTAGATGGGGAGTGGGTGGAGGGTGGAGGGAGTGGCAAGGCTGAACAGGCCCAGCCTGGGAATCCAGAGGGTCACCTAGCCCCACTCCCATCCCAGGCCCTTCACCCTGGAGGGCCCCCTGGTGTCCTTCCTGAATGGTCACTTCACTCCAGCGAGGTGGGAGGAGGGGCTGGGCAAAGGAGGCCAGCAGTGCTATAAGACCAATGACACAGGTCAGGAAACGGAGACTCCAGGGCCCGGAATAGCCTCAGTCCTCTTGGGGGGTTAGATACCCCCAAGAGGATCCTACAAGAGGAAGCAGGGACTACCCTGCCCCTGCACACACTTGACAGATAACTGGGAATAGGGGCACAGCTCCCAGGATGGAGCCAGCTGTCCTGCCAGAGGTGCTGTAGGCTCTCCTGACCCCAAGGCTGCAGTTCCTTCTTTACCAGCCCAAAACCTCTCACACCCTACCCTACATCTTGGACCAGCAGAGAAAGCCCTTGTTCTGTGATCCCAAAACTTCAGCTACATCAGAATCAATACCTTCAGGAGCCTGTTAAAAACATGGATACCCCATCAAACTCAGACACTGCAAGCTTGTCCAGGAAGCCTCTGGAATCCCCCCAACCCAGCTGGAGTAAGCACCTCTTCTGTGCTTTCCAGTGCCCCAGACTCCCCACCAACATCACACCAACACTGCCTGCTGATTCTGTGATCACCCGTCTCTGTAATCCTACCCCCAATATCTATCACTCTTGTTGCCCAGGCTAGAGTGTAATGGTATGATCTCGGCTCACTGCAACCTCTGCCTCACGGGTTCAAGCAATTCTCCTGCCTCAACCTCCCCAATAGCTGGGATAACAGGCATGCACCACCACCGAGCCTGGCTAATTTTGTGTTTTTAGTAGAGACAAGGTTTCTCCATGTTGGTCGGCTGGTCACAAACTCCCAACCTCAGGTGATCTGCCTGCCTCCGCCTCCCAAAGTACTGAGATTAGAGGCGTGCCCAACCCATGGGTGATTTTCTTTGCAGTGGGGGTGTAAGGAGGGGTGTGCAGGGGCCCTGGGCCAAGGTAGCCAGGATGCTGTGACTCTGACCCCGTTGACTGTGGCAGTAAACACTGCTCCAAGGGGACCCTGACTGACTGTGACCTCTGACCTCTGTGGCCTGCCTGAAAAAGATGAGCTGAGCCAATCAAACTCCTCTCTCAAGGAGCTGAACGAGCTCAGTACAGTGGCAGGAGACTGAGGCGGGAGGATATTGCTTGATTCCAGGAGTCCGAGGCTGCAGTGAGCTATGATTCACCACTGTACTCCAGCCTGAGTGACAGAGTGAGACCCCCATCTCTTAAAAAAAAATAGACCTGTGCTAAGGTATAAAGGAAAAATCTGGTATCTGGTTGGTGGCAGATGCTTGAGATCAAGGGAGCTGAGGCTCTGAACTGGACAGACAAGGAGGACTAGAGAAGTCTCTTGATTTTCCCTGGAGATGGGATTCCCAGCTCAAGCCTTTTTCCACCATTTCACCATCTTCCATTCCATCATCTTAGCCAAAAATCACCCTCCTTGGGTGCACTGCACTTCACTGTTTGCCAGAGCCTCACTGGATTTGCCCACAGCCTTATTAAGCAAGACTGGCAGAGCAGGGGGCATTGTCAGCGGCCCGAGCTTCAGGAAAATGGTGCTGGAGAAGACCTCAGAGGAGGCTGAAGATGGGTGGGGCTTGCCCAAGGTCACCCACACTTGGAACCCGGGTGCAGTTCTCCTAGCCCTCTAGCCAAGAGCTCTTTCCAACTCTCCATGCCGTTCCTTAGTCATGTTGCATTTCCAAGCTGCCCTGTTCCAGCCCAACAGTCCTGACTCAGAAGAGACACAGGCAGGGAAGAGACCCTGGAGGTGGCAGAGGGTAAATGGCGCAGTCCTGAGTCCCTCCACCACCCGGGTCCTCCTTGTGCTTCCTGAGCCTCAGGCTTCTCATCTCTAAAGTGGGTATATCAGTGTCCATCTCCTGTGGTTGTTAAGAGAACAGCCTGAGATGACGTGTGTCCATGGCCTCCTGGGAAGGGACAGAAAAGGCTGACCCCATGTGCCTCCTGCCTGCTGTAGGGGGCAGGAATGACAAGCAGTGGGGCAAAGTCTCTAATTCCTTTTACCTTGGCTCTGGCGAGTGGGAAACTCCAGGCCAACCAGTTAAAGATTGGCCAGGTGTGCGTGAGCAGCTCAGACCGTCTCCAGACCACGGTGAGTCAGATGGGGCAGTGATCATCTGGTGACCATGGAGCCACCTCAGATCTGTCCTGAAATTTCCTCAGGGACCTGGGCCCTGCTGCAGCTTAGAGGGGCAAAGTATGGCAATGCCTGCTTGTGGTCTCGGCTCACTGCAAACTCTGCCTCCCTGTTTCAAGTGAATCTCCTGCCTCAGCCTCCGGAATAGCTGGGATTGCAGGCACCCACCACCATGCCTGGCTGTTTTGTTTTTTACTAGAGACAGGGTTTCGCCATGTTGGCCAGGCTGGTCTTGAACTCCTGACCTCAGGTGATCAGCCCACCCTGGCCTCCCAAAGTGCTGAGATTACGGGTGTGAGCCCTGGAGCCTGGCCTGCTGGGAGTCTTTGTATGTGACACCAGGGTGCATCATGGGCCTGCCGGCAGTCTAGAGGCTCTAAAGAATAGGGCCATGTCCCCTCAGATAGGAGCTTCCAGGGCCAGCCGTGTTTCTCTCTCAGACAGGGCCAACTTCTTTTCCTGAGATTCTCAGGGCTGGGCTGCCCATGACAGAGCCATATTCCTTTCAGTTGAGGGATCTCAGAGGACTCCACCTCCCTGCTCAGATTGGCCCCTTGGGGCAGCGCCATGTCTGTGGTCCCTCCCAGGACAAAGCTGTGTTTCTGCTTTCAGACAAGGGAACTCAGAACAGGTGAGTTTTGCTGAGACTCCGAGGGCTGGGCTGCATCTCCCTCCTCAGATGCATCTCTCAGAGCAGGGAATTTTCTCCTCAGACTGCAGCCCTCAGGCAGGGCTTTGTCTTCTCTCTCAATATGTGATGTCCAGGGCAGGTCAGGTCTGCTGAGTCTCGGGATCTCAGGACAGGACTGTCTCCAGCTTCAGACTGGGGTTCCCTAGCTCTCCTGAGTGTGCTGTGCCTTCCTGCGTCTGAGAAATGAACTGGGCCTTCTCTCTGATGGAGCTTTCTTGAGGAGTTTGCTTTGGGTTTGAGGAGAGGCATGGACACAGAGCTCAAGTGAGGTACTTTTTCCCTCCAGGATTTTAGCATAGACTCCAGTTTTTACTTTTTTTTTTTTCCAGAAGTGGGGTCTTGCTGTGTTGCCCAGGCTGGTCCCAAATTCCCGAGCTCAAGTGATCCTCAAGCTCGGCCTCCCAAAGTGCTGGGATTGCAAGTGTGAGTCACTGCACCTAATGATTTTACTTCTCAAATGCATTATTTTCTTCAAAGCCACATACTATGATTATTTTTAGGATATTGGGACAATAATACCAATGGAATACTCTTTATTTTTTGAGGTGGAGTCTCACTCTTGTCACCCAGGCTGGAGTGCAATGGTGCGATCTCTGCTCACTGCAACCTCCGCCTCCTGGGTTCAAGAGCTTCTCGTGCCTTAGCCTCCCAAGTAGCTGGGATTACAGGTGCCTGCCGCCACACCTGGCTAATTTTTGTATTTTTAGTAGAGATGTGGAGTTTTTGCCACTTTGGCCAGGCTGGTCTTGAACTCCTGACCTCAAGTGATCCACCCACCTCGGCCTTCCAAAGTGCTGGGATTACACCCCACCACACCCAGTCTCAGTTCTTCATCTCTAAAGAGTTCATCCAGGCTGGGCACTTTGACTCATGCCTGTAATCCTAGCACTTTGGGCAGCCAAGGCGGGTGGATCACCTGAAGTCAGGAGTTTGAGAGCAGCCTAGCCAACATGGTAAAACCTTGTCTCTACTAAAAATACAAAAATTAGCCAGGCATGGTGGCAGGTGCCTGTAATGCCAGCTACTCCAGAGGCTGAGACAGGAGGATTGCTTGAACCCGGGAGGAGGAGGTTGCAGTGAGCCGAGATAGTGCCACTGCACTCCAGCCTGGTTGACAGAGCAAGACTCCATCTCAAAAAAAATAAAGAAATAAAGATCTGATAGAAATAGAAATAACATTTGACCCAGCAATCCCATTAGTGGGTATATACCTGAAAAATTGTAAATCAATCTATTATAAAGACACATGCACATGTATGTTTATGCAGCACTATTCACAACAGCAAAGACTTGGTACCAGCCCAAATGCCCATCAGTGATAGACTGGATAAAGAAAATGTGGCACATATACACCATGGAATACTATGCAGCCATCAAAAAACGATGAGTTCATGTCCTTTAAAGGGACATGGATGAAACTGGAAACCATTATTCTCAGCACACTGACATAGGAACAGAAAAGCAAACACCACAGGTTCTCACTCATAAGTGGGTGTTGAATAATGAGAACACACGGACACAGAGAGGAAAACATCACACACTGGGGCCTGTCAGGCGGTGGGGGAGCTAGAGGAGAGATAGCAGGGGGTGGGGAGATTGGGGACGAATAGCATTAGGAGAAATACCTAATGTAGGATGACGCGGGGCTGGGGGGAGGCAGCAAACCAAGATGGCATGCTTATACCTGTGTAACAATCCTGCAAGATCTGTACATGTAACCCAGAACTTAAAGTAAAATAAAGAAAAAAGGAAACAAAACAAAAAAACAAAAACAAAAGAAACAAACCACCCTGGAACGTGGCTTGTTCCCAGTAATTTGAAACATTTAAAAAATGTTTAAATGAGCACTTGACACTTATATTACAAACAGGAATAAGACAGCCTGAGTTACACATCATTGCTTTAAGAAAATAAATTTTAATGTCAATTTTCAATCTTTAAAATCTTTAATTTTATTTTGGAAAAAAATCCTCAATCTTAAAATGATCATGGCAAAGAAAACAAAGGATTACAGTCCTTTTGCTTTTTCAAATAACAAACATGGAAATGAATTCTTATGAATGTCAACAGTCAATGTAGTGTGGCATATTAAGAATTGACTTTCATATAATGGCTAAGTTTAGAGAGATTACATTTCATGAGAAAATATTTCATGCATTTTAATGGATTTTCTATTCTGTTCTGAAAAACGGTTGTGTCTTTTAGTGTATTCTCCTTCCTGTCCACATATGTGGAATCTGCCTATTCCCTTCTCTTCTGAAATAGTTTAAAAGACTCAAAGAGAATGGCCTGGGCTTTGTACATCCTTAGTCTGATAGATATTTCTCTGGCTGTTCACTTAAATAGATATTAGCAGCTAATTAAATAAACTACCTCTCTCCTCAGTCAGAAATTAACAAAGGCTTAAAAATTAGCAAAGGCTCTGTTTTGCTACGGCCTTAGGTGCTGACAGTCTTATCTTGAGGAAAAAAGTTTTCATTGTATAGATTAAAATTAACTTTGGCAAAAATTGAAATGCAGGCAGGGAATTTTTTTGGTTCAACAGCAGAAACCAACAAAAGCGAATATACTGCAAAAATAGAAAATTTCCAGTGTAGAGATGTAAATACAATAATTTACACAGCAAGGGATGATTAATGAATAATAAAATGTTGAGGGATGATCATTTGAATACAGGATATTAATACTTTTGAAAACCATTTTTCCAGTTACTTCCGTATAAATATATATATATATATATCTCCGTATAAATAAGGTGTCGCTGAATATATATATCCGTATAAATAAGGTGTCTCTGAATAAATATATATATCTGCATAAATAAGGTGTCTCTGAAAGGTACAGATCTGGCATCATGATCATGGTGATAGACAAATGGTGGAAAAGTCCTGGTATCACAATCATGGTGGTAGACACACGGGACCTTCTCTACCTGCAGATGGGTGAGGTAGCATTGACCCTGCAGTGTTCCCGGAAAAACACTTAGGCTGAATTTAAGCATGAGGACATTTTCAGACAACTTCAGAGTACAGACCATTGAGCCGGACAGCTGACCTGTCCTCTACAAAAAAGCCCATGTCACCACCATCAACGACAACAACAACAAGGTGAAAAGACACTTTGGGTTCAAAAGAACTAAAGAAATGTAGCTACATTATCTTTTTACTCTTTTTCAACCCAAAACATCTCTTCTACTTTCAGTTGTGTGATTTGTGGTGACATGGGCTGTCTGAAGGAGACAGGTCAGTTGTGCTGCTCACTTGTTCTACATTGGAAGTTGTCTGGACATTACCTCAGGCGATGAAACTCGGGCTAAGCGTTTTCAGCAAGAACATGGCGTGGTTCATACTCTGCACCGGCAGAGTCCCGTGTGACACGTTGTCTTAGTGTGGGAATATGACACCTATCCGGGAGACCAGGTGGAGTCCTATCACTGTCATAGTAAGAAACCCACTGTCCATGTCCAAAGTCAAGCGAACATGCTCTTCTGCATATAAAAAAATGGCATATGTGTAAGCCTGGCATGTGTAATAAAACTCAAGATAAGCTGTATATGTTGAATACAATATATCCAGTGAGTACCAGAAGACTTCAGGCTCTTCTGCTTCCACCAGCTCCATGCTGAGCCTAAAAAAGGAGGAAAAACCGAAGAATAAGTCAGGGAAAATAAGACACCGCAGAGCCCCAACTCAATTTCATGGGTAGCACAAGAAAGTGGTTGATAAAGAAAAAACATAGATCCACTAATGACGTAACGAACTATTGCCTTATGCTGGGATGGACAAGAGTAGGGGAGAAAAGAAGGAAAGAGACAGACAGAGAGAGAGACAGAGAGAGAGAGAGAGAAAGTAAGCTCAGTGAACAGTCCAGGTGACACACTGATGAGGGAGTAAAAGGACACTCTGAGTCAGTACCCTCAGGACACACAGCGTACACTGATCATAAAAACAAGTATGGTCAACCTACAGCAGTTAGTAAATGGTAAGGGGAGGAAGAAATGGAAACCTAAGTATCTACTGCAATGAAAACCAACAGCAACGTTTGGAGGAATACTTCAGGCTTCATTGAAAAGATGGTATCGATATTGTCAGCCCACTCTGTTTTCCCTGGACCTGGCGTCTCCAGGTATCAACACAAAATTAGCTGTTCACAGTTGCTCAAAGTTACCTGGGGCACAGTGGGCCTTGGTCTTCTTCCTCTTCTTGGTCTGTTTTAATCTCTGCAATAAATTCAGATAGGAACAGACAAAGTTAGCCATTGCCCTACACCCATAACAGTCCACTGTCTAATCCCTGCACAGGGACCTCAGACTCCTCAGCTTGAGAACAGGATAACGTGAGAGAGAGACTTCAGGAGGTCTCAAGGCCAATCATGATAGAGATTCCTTGGTTTGTGTCTCAGAACCAATGGTGAAACGTCCCTATTCTGGTAGACCATTATCTCTTTATCCCAAGTTTGTACAAACAGGAAAGAACCTCACAGACATGCTTGGGGAACAAAACTCATGAGGAACTTGGTAGCTGGCAAGAGACATTTAATTCAGATTGACAAACAACTCGTGGGCATGTGCTGCATAGCTTGGTGTGAGTTTGCGACAGCCGCCTTGGGTTTCAACGTCCTGAAAGTTGGTCCAGGGTGCCATGGGCATGGACTGAGACTAGAGAGCAAAGCTCACTGACCCACCCCATGCCCGTGCTTCAGACTGGAATTCGGAGTGACTGAAATCTGCACTGATGGATAGGCTCAGCCCACAGTGATGACAACTCTCAGCGCGGCCAGGGGAGCAATGCACAAAGACTATGGGGTCTATCTGGGACACAAAGTGCAGCTTTACCACTTTCACAAGAGTACTCACTGTCTATGTCATGAGCCAAGTTGACCTGCTGTTCCTCTAATGAGTGCAAGTTGGTCCTGTAAGGCTCATTGAAGGCAAATGTGCCAGGAGGAATTGAGAGAGTTGAATCATCTTCATCCCAGGACTCCTCGGGGGCTTCCTCCTCCACATACTCCTGCAGATTCCTGATGGGCCAGGCAGGACAGGGATGACAGAAGATTAAACCAACACGGATTAGACAACAAAGTCTCCCAGCTGATCTGATGGAAGTCAGAATGGAGTGGTCACAGAAAGCAAAGGCATTTTTCCTTCAAGAGAAAAAAAACTATCGCTTCTAAATGCAGGGTGGAGGGTGACTACCCTGGGGACAGAGCACAAATGAGCAGCATGTGCTCAGTGCATGTGCCACAGATGAGCCACTGCAGGCCACACAGACTCTCCCTGTAAACTCTCATCACGACTTGCAGCACGAGAACTATCACGGGGCTTCAACAACCTCGCATAAGTTGTGTTGAATTTTACACGAGGCATTCAAGTGGACAGAGCTCTTGAGGCACTTCAGACACCCAGATCTGGTGTATTAAGGGCCTCCTTTTTCCAGTATTTTCATATAATATATCTATGTTGTGAATTTCTTCTCTTCACAAATCCTAGCAAACACACTCACAACAAATGGGCAGAAAGCAGATATGTGTCTCTCCCTGGGTTTAAACACAGTGGGAAGAACAGGTGAAACCAGGAAATCCCTGTTTGCTGAGTTCACCTGGCTCATCTGACTGCAGGTTCCCATCTTGGGAGGAGTCAGAAATTAAAATCTATACATGTGCCACAAATTACCCACAACATTGTCCTCTCTGCAACACAGCATGGCTGCCATGGGAACCGGAGAGAAAGACAGCAGCTGGTATTCCTTACACTGGGCAGAAAGGAGCCGAGAAGAAAAAAGACTCAGTTATCCCTGTATAATTCAGTCATGGCACTCAGCACATACAAAGAACCACAACAGCTGCCACACCCTGTGTCTAAGTTGGGTTGAATTGAACATATTGTGGCCAAGGGAATGGAGGCTTTTGGCCCATGGGAGACGCCAGAGAGGGTGTGCTTCTAGACCTTTTCCATACTTTACCACCCATTACTTGCTCCGGCTTCTTCAGTGTTACCTGGGGGCACTTGATTCCTGGATGTTCTCAGCCTCCGTGACATGAACATCTTCATCCTCATCTTTGTCGTTTTCTGCAAGTACAGATGTGTTTGTTCAGATATTTCCCATTTCACACTCTGCAGAGACAGTCAGCCCAATGTGCACAGGGACATGAACATCTGTGTATGGGTCCCTGTTCTACTGAAAGCTCTCATGTTTTTTCTCTAACAAAATGCCCTGGCATTCTTTCCTGATCCACCAGGCAATGCATTTCGGATCAGGAGGCTCACCGTCAAGATGAGACCAAATGTTGAAAAGGCCTTCTGCTCCCACATCACTGGAGGCTTGTGCAGCCTCTCTCTGGACTTTGGCAGCTCTCCCCGCAATCCCGACAGATCTGATTCCCAGGGACAGGCTTGGCGTCCCATCACAGCTCATATTTACAACCTATTTCTTTCTCTTAGGAGAGGATAAACAAACTTGTCCCACAATCCTCATCAGGTGACTTCACAGGCCCGCCAAGTGGCTTCTGCTATGTTATTCAGGGACATTCTCTCCATGGGGAATGCTCCAAACTGAACCACTTCCTACCACCAAATGCCCACACATCAAGTGCTTTCTCCAACAGCACACAGAGAGGGGCTTTATCTCATTGTGATAAGCGGTCATAAGTGCTCACACATTTGAATGCTTCGGACACTGCAAGATGTCTGCCTTTGCAGATGGAGAAAGAGAAATTTACCTGCCTTTGCAGATGGAGACAGAGAAAGTCAGAAAGAAGAAATCAATTGCTCCCTGACAGTTCCTAAGAACACTGCTGAAGATACAGCCTGGGACCTTAATTCTTAGTCCAGAGCTCTTTCCACTCCAACAACTGCCCTCCTGCCACAGCTTCCTTCCTGTCCTTCACAACTAGACAGATGCTGCCTCCTGTTCCAAAGACCACAATCCATCATGGAAGGAGGGACATTTGCAATACAGTGACCTCCAACTCCATGGGTTTCCCATCTGTGTTCTCTTTCAGGAAGTCCTAGTCATGTCATGGCCACATGTTTCGTGGAAGAAAACACCACTGATAAAACCATCATTGTGGAATTATGGAGGTCTGCAGCCTCTCATAAGGCCATAAAATAAATATGCACAGACTAATAGTTTCCCTTATGCTAGACACAGTAGAATGAAGAACTAACAGACAGCGTTGGCCGGGCGTGGTGGCTCACACCTATAATCCCAGCACTGCGGGAGGCTGAGGCGGGTGGATCACAAAGTCAAGAGATCGAGACCATGCTGGTCAACAACGTGAAACCCCGTCTCTACTAAAAATACAAAAATTAGCTGGGCATGGTGGTGCACACCTGTAGTCCCAGCTACTCGAGAGGCTGAGGCAGGAGAATTGCTTGAACCCAGAAGGCGGAGGTTGTGGTGAGCCGAGATCATGCCATTGCACTCCAGTCTGGGACACAACAGCGAAACTCCATCTCAAAAAAAAAAAAAAGAAACTAATAGACAGTGTTTACTCTGTGCCAACAACTGTCCCGGGAGAGTTACAATAAATAGGCCATCTAATTCAGTGCAGCAATTGACAGAGGTAGGCATTATTATAGTATCCTACGAACAGATGACAAAACTGAGTAACAAAGGAAGCAACTTGGATGGAGCTCAGGAGACCGGCCCAGGGTCCCTCCTCTATGCACTGCTGCCTTCACAAAGTTGTGGGTGCCGTCGTTCTTCCTCTTTACCAATGAGAGCCTCTGCAGAGACAGCAGGACGTTCCTCTGACCAGAGTAATCTCTGCTCTTGATGATGCCACTTACAGATACCACAGGGTATGTAAGGAGCAGTCCTCTTTAAGCTCCCTGTAGCGGGAATAGTGTGCTACCATCGCATGTCCCCCAGAACAGAGCTTTCCCTACTGAGCCTCAGCAGAAACTGGAACCGAATGAAGTTCAGCAGCCTCAGACATTTAGAACAACAGACTAGATGCTACTTGTCTGCGGGATCTTAGGTGGTACAGAGAGGATTCCTGTGAACATGATTTAGCCTCTTCCTGAGAAAAATGGGTGGTTCTGTGCCTGTGTCAGAAATCAACAGCTGAGACTTTACCCTCAGTCCCACACCCGCCTTACTGCAGATGTGGAAAATTTGCTACATACTTTGGCCTCTCTCGTCCCCCTTTAACAAAATGTTAAAATACCATTTATATTTTCCTAGATGTATGGTAAAAATGAAATTAATTCTGATGAAGAGAGCCTTTAGTTTCTCACAAGAAACACAGAACATTGTTCAGCACTTTGGTGACGGTGAACCTATGAAACTTACTCTCCGTCTTCAGCCTGCAGCCCGGGTAGTCTTGACTCATAAGAAGTTTATTTTTGCTGTCTCTGTATTTCTGTTCCTCCCCGTGACGTCTCCGATCTTCTGTAAACAAATTCAGAAGAGCAGGTCACATTAAGCAAATCGCACTTCACACAAGACCAAATCAGTGTCTAGTCATAGAACAAGGACGAAAAATATTCTCCGTTTCAGAATGTGATATTCTGAAGGGAATGTTCTACTGGTCCCTAGATTAGGTCACCCTAGAAGTCAATGAGCCTGCTTTTCAGATCCATGGAACAAAATCTCCCTTATCTGCTAGATCTTAATCACTTATCCTCTCACCTAAGTAAGCACAAACAATTAAAACTGTCCCTAAAATCTTCAAAAATTGCCCTAACTACTTTCCAGAAGCATTGCAGTAATACTGATTTATCTCGTCATATATGATGGTTAGAGAAATTTATAGAGAATGGACTGACGGATGAATTCTAACAAGCTTTACATAGAAAAGAATCTGTGGAGCCAGCACAGTGACTCATGCCTGGAATTGGAAAAATTTAGGGGGCCCAGGAAGGGAGATCACGACCTCAGGAAGTCAAGACCAGCCTGGCCAACATGGTGAAAACCCACCTCTACTAAAAATACAAAAACTAGCCGTGTGATGGTGTCCACCGGGGATCCCAGCTAACTAACAGGCTGAGTCACGAATACAAGGGTACTCCCTGCTCTTGATGGTGCCACTTACCGATACCACAGGTTGTGTAAAAAGCAGAGTCCTCTTTTAGTTCCCCACAGCGGGTACTGTGTGTTATCACCGTGTTTACCCCAGTGTCCCCAAAACACTGCTTTGCCTACTGGGCCTCAGCAGAAACCGGAACCGAATGGAAGTTCAGCAGCCTCAGACATTCAGAACAACAGACTAGAGGCCACTTGACTGCAGGACAACATTGCAGCAATACTGATTTATCTCATCATATGTGATGGTCAGCTAATGGTTAGAGAAATTTACAGAAGAGACTGGACCGACAGATCCATTTTTAATAAAATGCTAAGGTACCCATTTATATTTGCCTATAAGTATGGGGAAAATTCAATAAATTCTGATGAAGAGAGCGTTCAGTTTCTCAGAGAAATGACAGAAGATCGTTCAGCACTTTCATGATGATGATGAACCTATAGAACTTACTTACCTTCAATCTTCAGCCGGCAGCGTATATAGTAGGCCGCTTGCCTCATAAGAACTTTATTTTTGCTTTCTCTGTATTTCTGTATTTCATGATCTTGTCGATCTTCTGTAAACAAATTCAGAAGAGCAGCTCACATGGAACACATCACACTTCACACTAGACCAAATCAGTGTCCAGTCACAGCACAAGGACATAAAATATTCTTAGTTTATAAATGTGATATTCTGACTGGAATGTTCTATCGGGCCCTAGATTAAGTCACCTGAGGAGTAGGTGTGCCTGCTTTCCAGACCCATGGGACAAAACCTCTTTCATCTGGTAGATATGAATCATGTGTCCTCTGACCTAAGTCAGTGTGAACAATTAAAACTTTTCCTCCCCAAACCTTCAAAAATTGCCCTAACTGCTTTCCAGAAGGGTTGCTGCAATACTAATTATCTCATCATATATCATGGCCAATGAATGGTTAGAGAAATTTATATAGGAGACCAGACTGACGGATAAATTTAACAACCTTTACTGAAAAAGAATCTGTGGAGCCAGCATTGTAGCTCATACTTGGAATCCAAGCAACTTAGGAGGCCCAGGCATGCAGATCACCTGACCTCAAGAGTTCAAGACCAGCTGGGCCAACATGGTGAAACCTTGCCTCTACATAAAACACAAAAATTAGCAAGATGTGGTGGTGCCCACTGGGGAGCCCAGCTAATTGGCTGGCTGAGGCACCAATACCTCAGTACTCCCTGCTCTTGATGGTGCCACTTACAGATAGCATAGGTTCTATTAGGAGCAGGGTCCCCTTTAAGCTCCTCACAGTGGGTACTGTCTGCTATCACCGTGTTTCCCCCAGGGTACCCAGAACACAGCTTTGCCTACTGGACCTTTATCAGAAACCGGAACTGCACGGAAGTTCAGTAGCCTCAGACATTTAGACCAGCAGACTAGATGCTATTTGTCTGTAAAATCTTACACGGTACAGAGAGCATTCCTATAAATATGGATTTAGCCTCTTGCTAAGAAAAACAGGTGGTTCTGTGCCTGGGTCAGGAATCAATAGCTGTGATTGTAACCCCAGTCCCACAGTCCCATAGTCCCACACCCACCTTACTGCAGATGTGGAAATGTTGCTAAATATTTTGGTGTCTGTCTTCCATTTTAACTAAATGTTAAAAATACCCATTGCTATTTTCTACAAGAATGGAAGGATGAAATTAATTTTGATGAAGAGAGCGGTTAGTTTCTCGAGACAAGACAGGACATCATAACTTTTGTGGTGGTCAGCCTATAGAACTTACTGCATGTCTTCAGCCGATAGTTCAGGGAGTAGTCCACCTGACTCATAAGAAGTCTATTTTCGCTGCCTCCGATATTCGGTTTATTATCTTCCTGCTGGGACCAGGATTTCGCAATGCCTTCCGGAATGTTCAACTCAGTGTTTCTTCTGGAAGGAGGCCTGCCAGATGCCACCTTGCTGATGTTTCGGGCAGAACACAGAAAGCCAGGGACTGGGAAATAGAAACCCAAACACACAATGAGTTAGAAACTGGTGACTTCCAATTGGTTTCATCGGGACTGAGGGATGTCACTGACAGCACTGCCTATCGATTTGAAGATGTTGTTTCCCCGCTTTTACTCTTCTCATCTCCACTCTTGATCTCCTTAAAGTCAACTTGTCTTAGCTACTCAGTCACCTTGAAGACAGGACATTAAACACTTCTACCTTTATCTTGCTTATGAGTTCTGCAGGATCTTAAATGGTACAGAGAGAATTCCTGTAAACATGATTGGGCTTCTTGCTGAGAAAAACAGGTGTTCTGTGCCTGTGTCAGGAATCAATAGCTGGGATATTAACCCTAGTCCCACACCCGCCTTACTGCAGACGTGGAAAAGTTGCTAAATGCTTTGGCCTCTGTCTTCCATCTTTAATAAAATGTTAAAATACCCATTGCTATTTTCCTAGAAGTATGGAAAGGATGAAATTAACTTTGAAGAAGAGAGTGTATCATTTCTCAGAAAGAAGACAGAACATTGTTCAGCACTGTTACAGTGAACCTAGAGAGCTTACCTTCCGTCTTCAGCTGGCAGCCCAGGTAGTAGGCCACTTGACTCATAAGAAGTTTATTTTTGCTGTCTCTGCCTTTCTGTTCTTCATTGTGATCTTTTCGATCTCCTGTAAACAAATTCAGAAGAGCAGGTCACATTAAGGAAATCACACTTCACACAAAACCAAATCAGTGCCGGGCGTGGTGGCTCACACCTGTAATCCCAGCACTTTGGGAGGCTGAGGCGGGTGGATCACGGGGTCAAGAGATCGAGACCATCTTGGTCAACATGGTGAAACCCCGTCTCTACTAAAAATACAAAACATTAGCTGGGCATGGTGGCACGTGCCTGTAATCCCAGCTCAGGAGGCTGAGGCAGGAGAATTGCCTGAACCCAGGAGGCAGAGGTTGTGGTGAGCCGAGATCACGCCATTGCACTCCAGCCTGGGTAAGGAGCGAAACTTCGTCTCAGAGAAAAAAAAAATCAGTGTTCGGTCATAGTGCAAGGATGTAAAATATTCTCAGTGTAAGAATGTAATATTCTGACAGGAATGTTCTACTGGTCCCTAGATTAAGTCACCTCAGAAGTAAATGAGCCTGCTTTTCAGATCCGTGAAACAAAATCTCCCTGATCTCGATCTTTATCACATATCCTCTGACCTAACTCAGTGCAAATAATTAAAACTGTTTTTCCCCAAAATCTTCAAAAATTGCAATAACTGCTTTCCAGAAGCATTGCGGCAATACCGATTTATCTCTGCATATATCATGGTCAATGAATACTTAGAGAAATTTATATAGGACACTGGACCAAGGCATGAATTCTAACAACCTTTACTTAAAAAAGAATCTGTGGAGCCAGCCCAGTGTCTCATGACTGGAATTCCAGCCTTTTAGGAGGCCCAGAAGGACAGATCACTTGACCTCAAGACTTCAAGACCAGCCTGGCCAACATGGTGAAACCCCGCCTCTATTAAAAGTACAAAAATAAGCTGGGTGCTTTGGTGCCCAGCAGGGATCCCAGCTAATGGAGAGGCTGAGGCACCAGTAGCAGGGTACTTCCTGCTCTTGATGGTGGGTGCCACTTACAGATACCACAGGTTCTATTAGAAGCAGGGTCCTCCTCGAGTTCCTCACAGGAGGTACTGTGTGCTATCACTGTGTTTCCCCCAGTGCTCCCAGAACACAGCTTTGCTTACTGGGCCTCAGCAGAAACTGGAACCAAATCGAAGTTCAGTAGCCTCAGACACGTAGACCAACAGACTAGATGCTACTTGTCTGCAGGATCTTATATGGTACAGAGAGGATTCCTGTAAACATGATTTAGCCATTTGTTGAAAAAAAGATGGTTCTGTGCCTGTGTCAGAGATCAATAGCAGGGATTGTAACCCCAGTCCAACACCCATGTAGACGTGGAAAAGTTGCTGGATACTTTGGCCTCTGCCTTACATCTTTAACAAAATGCTAAAATAACCATTTCTATTTTCTACAAGTATAAGAAGGACAAAATTAATTTTGACAAAGAGGTTAGTTTTTCAAAACAAGACAGGATATTATTCATCAATTTCGTGGGGTGAACCTACAGAACTTACTGTAGGTCTTCAGCTGGTAGTTCAGGAAGTAGGCCACCTGACTCAGAAGAAGTCTAATTTTGCTGGCTCTGAAAGTCGGTTTGTTTTCTTCCTGCCAGGAACAGGATATCTCAATGCTTTCTGCAACGTTCACCTCTGTGTTTTCTCCGGAAGGAGGCTTGCCTGATGCCGCCGTGCTGATGTTTGGGGCAGAACACAGATAGCCAGGGACTGGGGAGAAGAAACCCAAACACACGATGCGTTAGAAATTGGTGACGTCAAATTGCTTTAATCAGGACTGAGGGATGGCACTGACAGCACTGCCTATTGATTTGAAGATGTTGTTTCCCTGCTTTTACTCTTCTCATCTCCACTCTTGATCTCCTTAAAGTCAACTTGTCTTAGCTACTCAGTCACCTTAAAGCCAGGACATGAACACTTCTACCTTTATCTTGCTTCTACGTTTTGCAGGATCTTATATGCTAGAGAGGATTCCTGTAAACATGACTTACCCTCTTGCTGAGAAAAACAGGTGGTTCTGTCCCTGTGTCGGGAAGCAATAGCTGGGATATTGACCCTAGTCCCAAACCCGCCTTACTGCAGATGTGGAAAAGTTGCTAAATACTTTGACCTCTGTCTTCCATCTTTAACAAAATGTTAAAATACCCTTTGCTATTTTCCTACAAGTATGGGAAGGATGAAATTAACTTTGAAGAGGTGAATGTATCATTTCTCATAGACAAGACAGGGCATTGTTCATCACTTTCGAGACAGTGAACCCAGAGAACTTACCTTCCGTCTTCAGCCGGCAGCCCAGGTAGTAGGCCACTTGACTCATAAGAAGTTTATTTTTGCTGTCTCTGCATTTCTGTTCTTCATTGTGATCTTTTCGATCTCCTGTAAACAAATTCAGAAGAGCAGGTCACATTAAGCAAATCACAATTCACCCAAGACCAAATCAGTGTTCAGTCATAGCACAAGGATGTAAAATATTCGCAGTGTAAGAATGTGATATTCTCATGAAAATGTTCTAACAGGCCCTAGGTTAAATCACCTGAAAAGTAGATGAGCCTGCTTTTCAGATCCATGGGACAAAATCTCCCTCATCTGGTATATCTTAATCACATATCCTCTGACCTAAGTCAGTGAAAATAATTAAAACTTTGTCGCCAAAATCTTCAAAAATTGCCCTAACCAATTTCCAAAAGTATTGCTGCAATACTGATTTATATCATCACATATCATGCTCAATGAATGGTTAGCGAAATTTATAATAGGAGACAGGACCAAGGGATGAATTCTAACAACCTTTACTTAAAAATAATCTGTGGAGGCAGCCCGGTGTCTCCTGCCTGGAATTCCAGCATTTTAGGAGGCCCAGATGGTCACATCACTTGACCTCAGGAGTTGAAGACCAGCCTGGCCAACAGGGTGAAACACCGCCTCTACTAAAAATACAAAAATTAGCCAGGTGCTTTGGTGCCCACCAGGGATCCCAGCTAATTCGGAGGCTGAGGCACCAATACCAGTGTACTCCCTGTTCTTGATGGTGCCACTTACAGATACTACAGGTTCTATTAGGAGCAGGGTCCCCTTCAAGCTCCTCACAGGAGGTACCATGTGGTATCACTGTGTTCCCCTGGTGCCCCAGAACACACCTTTGCCTACTGGGGCTCAGCAGAAACCAGAACCAAGTAGAAATTCACTAGCCTCAGACATTTAGACCAACAGACTACATGCTACTGGTCCGCAGAATCTTATACAGTATAGAGGATTCCTGTAAACATGATTTCACCCTTTGCTGAGAAAAACAGGTGGTTCTGTGCCTGTGTCAGAAATCAATAGCTGAGATTTTTTTTTTTTTTTTGTAAGACGGGGTTTCGCTCTCATTACCCAGGCTGGAGTGCAATGGTGCGAACTCGGCTCACCGAAACCTCTGTCTCCTGGGTTCAAGCAATTCTCCTGCCTCAGCCTCCCGAGTAGCTGGGACTACAGGCGCACGCCACTGTACCCGGCTAAGTATTTTAAGTGGAGACGGTGTTTCACCTTGTTGACCAGGATGGTCTCGATCTCTTGACCTCATGATCCACCCGCCTCAGCCTCCCAAAGTGCTGGGATTATACACGTGAGCCATCACGCCCGGCCAATAGCTGGGATTTTAATCCCAGTCCCACACCCACCTTATTGCAGACATGGAAATGTTGCTAAATACTTTGGCCTCTGCCTTCCATCTTTAACAAAATGGTAAAAACTCATTTCTATTTTCTGGAAGTATGAAGAGGATGAAACTAATTTTGATGAAGAAAGTGGTTAGGGTCTCAAAAAAAGACAGGACATTATTCATCAATTTCGTGGTGGTGAACCTGTAGAACTTACCGTAGGTCTTCAGCCGGTAGTTCAGGAAGTAGGCCACCTGACTCAGAAAAAGTCTATTTTTGCTGGCTCTGAAAGTCGGTTTGTTTTCTTCCTGCCGGGAGCAGGATTTCTCAATGCCTTCTGCAATGTTCACCTCTGTGTTTTCTCTGGAAGGAGGCTTGCCAGATGTCACCGTGCTGACGTTTGGGGCAGAACACAGATAGCCAGGGACTGGGGAAAAGAAACCCAAACACACGATGAGTTAGAAACTGGTGACATCAAATTGGTTTAATTGGAACTGAGGGGTGTCACTGACAGCACTGCCTATTGATTTGAAGATGTTGTTTCCCCGCTTTTACTCTTCTCATTTCCACTCTTGGTCTCCTTAAATTCAACTTGTCATAGCTACTCAGTCACCTTGAAACCAGGAAATTAACACTTCTACCTTTATCTTGCTTACGAGTTCTGCAGGATTGTCTATATTAGAAGGATTTCTTTAAACATGATTTAGCCTCTTGCTGAGAAATACAGGTGGTTCTGTGCCTGTATCAGGAATCAATTGCTGGGTTATTAACACTAGTCCCACACCCGCCTTACTGCAGATGTGGAAATTTTGCTCAATACTTTGGCCTCTTTCCTCCAGTATTTTGTTAACATATTTTAACAAAATGTTAAAATACCCATTGCTATATTCCTAGAAGTATGGGTAGGGTAAAATCAACTCTGAAGAGAGTGCATCGTTTCTCAGAGACAAGGCAGGACACTGTTCATCACTTTCGAGACAGTGAACGTAGAGAACTTACCTTCCGTCTTCAGCCGGCAGCCCAGGTAGTAGGCCACTTGACTCATAAGAAGTTTATTTTTGCTGTCTCTGCCTTTCTGTTCTTCATCGTGATTGTTTCGATCTCCTGTAAACAAATTCAAAAGAGCAGGTCACATTATGCAAATCACACTTCACACAAGACCAAAACAGTGTTCGGTCATAGCGCAAGAACGTAAAATATTCTCAGGGTAAGAATGTGATATTCTGACAGGAATGTTCTACTGGTCCCTAGGTTAAGTCACCCTAGAAGTAGATGAGCCTGCTTTTCAGATCCATGGGAAAAAACCTCCCTCATCTGGTAGATCTTAAGTCACATCATCTGACCTAAGTCAGTGCAAAAAATTAAACCTTTGTCCCCAACATCTTCAAAGATTGCCCTGAATACGCTCCAGAAGCGTTGTTGCAATACTGATTTATCTGATCATATATCATTGCCAATGAATTGTTAGAGAAATTTATATAGGAGAGTGGACCAAGGGATGAATTCTAACAATCTCTACTGAAAAAAGAATCCGTGGAGCAGGCATGGTGGCTCACGCCTGGAATCCCAGCACTTTAGGAGGCTCAAGCAGGCAGATCACTTGACCTCAGGAGTTCAAGACCAGCCTGGCCAAAATGGTGAAACCCTGCCTCTACTAAATATACAAAAATTTTCCAGGTGTGCTGGTGCCCATCAGAGATCACAGCTGATTGGGAGGCTGAGGCACCAGTACCAGGGTACTCCCTGCCCTTGATGGTGTCACTTATAGATACCACAGGTTCTATTAGGAGCAGGGTCCCATTGAAGCCTCTCATAGTGGGTACTGTACGCTACCACTGTGTTTCTCCCAATGTCCCAGAATACAGCTTTGCCTACTGGGCCTCAGCAGAAACCGGAACCAAATGGAAGTTCAGTAGCCTCAGACATTAAGACCAACAGACTAGATGCTACTTGTATGTAGCATCTTATATGGTACAGAGAGGATTCCTGTAAACATGATTTAGCCTTTTGCTGAGAAAAACAGGTGGTTCTGTGCCTGTGTCAGAAATCAATCGCTGGGATTTTAACCCCAGTCCCACACCCACCTTACTGTAGATGTGGAAAAGTTGCTAAATAGTTTTGCCACTGTCTTCCATCTTTAAGTAAATGTTAAAATACCCATTGCTAGTTTCCACAAGTATGGGAAGGATGAAATTAATTTTGATTAAGAGAACGGTTAGTCTCTTGAGACAAGACAGGACATCCTTCATCACCTTCATGATGGTCAACCTATAGAACTTACTGTAGGTCTTCAGCTGGTAGTTCAGGAAGTAAGCCACCTGACTCAGAAGAAGTCTATTTTTGCTGGCTCCGATATTTGGTTTGGTCTCTTCCTGCTGGGAGTAAGAATTCTCGATGGCATCTGGAAAGTTTGCCTCTGTGGTCTTCCTGGAGCACGTCCTGCCAGATGCTATCATGCCGACGTTTGGGGCACCACAGGTCGGGCCAGGGACTGAGAGAAGACACCCACACACATGATGGGTTAAAAACTGGAAATCAAATAGGTTTCATCAGGACTGGGGGATGTCAGGAACTCAAATTCTTAACTTACTCTTGAGAAAAACTCGATCCTTCCTCACAGCACTTTAGCTAAGGTCCTTAACCGCAAAAGCAAGGTTGAAAATGCTTGAGCTGAAAACTGAAGGAGCTGCCTGTAGCTCAGACTCTGACAAGAGTGAGAGAGATAGCGGCCAGTGTCCCAGGTAACCGTCTGCTGTTGCAATAACAGAATTAAAAGCTGGGCGTGTCATGGAATCCTAGGAGCCCTTCATTCCAACTGCCCAGGGTTTGCTAAAACACAGGCCTCCTGGTCTCACCTGAGGTCATAACAGATGGGGACCATTACTCTATAAGTCACTCAGTATTTGTGTACCATTGTGACAATGCCACAGTGCCATCTCATTCCCAATACATCTAAGCATGTGCCTCATTTTTCATCTCTTATGTGTATAAAAACATCAAGGCAGAAACAGTTTCCCAACACGTGATACTTCCTTAATGCTAGTCATGAAGTCAGTCATGTTAAACATGTGAGTCCTTCTCACATGTTAAAACAGAATTTAAGGCTTTTCCACAAGTTTAAGATATCAACCTATTATGCTGCCATGATATCCTCTGAGTCTTCTGCAGTTTTTTCTGTATCCACTAGAAAGTCAATGAGTAACTCATTTCTTAAAAATATTTTCTTTCCTGGCTCAATATTCTTCTTGCTGCATCCAATGGTTATGCTGATTTACTTTTCTTACTGGCAGCTGCCAGTACACTAATGTTTGTGGCAGAAGAGGCTTTTCATTACAATTAAGACCAGTGTGACGTCCCTATGTCCAAAGCTTCTTCTAAAAAACAGCCTTAAATTCTGTTTTTTAATGTGACTGAACACTACATCTCATACTTGTCACTTATAGATGTCATTCTAGTCCCAGAAGAGCTCTTTTCAAGGTGTCACATCATTGAAACCATTTCTATAGGTATCTCCTGAAAGCATGTGTGACCATCTAATTTAGGAAGTCTTGGAAACCTGGTATGATTTTGTTGTTTTCGTTTTTTCCATATATTGAAAATAACAGGGCCATGAGCGGTTCTTATGAAAACACTGTTTGATAGATATTTTTCTGAGTTGGTCTAATACCGCTGATGTGTGGGTGCATCCCACTAACCAAACATGGCAAGATCAAGGTGATGGTCAGGGGTGGTTGGTGGTCCTCAGTGTTGCTGTGCAACGAAAAGTGAATTTGAGATGAGAGGAACGAGTAGGGAAGAGTGATCCCCTGAACCACCCCCTCACTTTCTCAGCCGTCATCTCCACCTCGGTTTTCTGAGCCTGAGATTTGGGAGACTGTTCTGTAGCCCAAGTCTCCTATGTTTGGCTGCTGGGCTTGCCTGAGTTGAGGGTGCAATGGGTGTGACCCTGGAGTACCCAGCATTCATGTAAAAGTAGAGGAAGAAGGACTGCCTCAATCCCATTGGAAAACATGCCTCTCTGCAGCCCCCACCATCCTCCAACTACCTGTAGGGATACTGCGTGGAGATATATCAAAGGCTTTATGTAAATGTATGTTCTGGTGTCTGGGACGCCTGACATTCTGTGGCAGAATGAAAATCTGTCACACTCCTTCATTTTAAAACTGATGAAGCTGTAGGTTTACAGTTATGTGGCTTACTTGCAAGGTCACACAGAGATGAGTTTTGAGCACTGCTAATAAAAGCAATCACAACAATTATTCCACAGTTATTCATAGGATCCATGTCATTCAGTAAATATTCATATCATCATCCAGTAATTGTTTGTTGATCAATTTGTATCAGGCATTTTGCTCAAAACTGTGCACATATTTGGACAGCATATCTTTATCATATGCTTCAAAGTAATGCTGTTATCCTAAGAGTCAGGTAAGAAACCTGAGAAGAGGGTTAGCAAATCATGAATTTGGCCATATTTCCATTGTTTAGTTTCTGTGATCCTGGATGAATAACCAGAATGAGTCACAGGAAAAGCATTCATTCCTGTAGCATTTTCCAGGACAGAGGTGTGCCCTCCTAGAGTATTGGGCCCAGAATTCATTAGTGTCTGCAACCTTGCTTTAATGGCATGGGAAATAACCTCTGTTACCTGGAATTTCCCTGGAACTTTGGAATATACAAGAGAACTATGAGACTTGGTCTTCCCTTGACTATATCTAATTCTCTCTTCTACGGAACACCTATGATTTTCACTAAGAATTTTCTTTTCTTCCTTCCTTTTTTTTGAGACAGTCTTGCTCTGTCACCAGGCTGAAATGCAGTGGTACAATCTCAGTTCACTGCAACCTCTGCATCCTGGGTTCAAGTGATTTTCCTGCCTCAGTCTCCCAAGTAGCTGGGACTACAGGCACGTGCCACCGTGCCTAAGTTTTGTGTTTTTAGCAGACAGGGTTTCAGCATGTTGGCCAAGACGGTCTTGATATCCTGACATCGTGATCCACCCGTCTCGGCCTCCCAAAGTGCTTGGACAGCTGGCATGAGCCACTGCACCTGGTCAACTTTTGCTTTTTTATAACCACAATGTATGTTTTATGAAGAAGATTTTACTGATAGCTCCATTCAGAAAGAATAACTATGAGCTACGGTTTAGGTTTTATGCCCTGGAATTACTATTTTTATGATTTATTTTGAGATTAAATTCTCATGTAAATAGAAAAATACTTATTACTTATGAAAACAAATTCCTTTTTGGTTTGATTTTTTTTTTCTTTTTTTGAGACAGAGTTTCGCTGTTGTTACCCAGACTGGAGTGCAATGGCATGGTCTCGGCTCACCTCAAACTCCGCCTCCTGGTTTCAAGAAATTCTCCTGCCTCAGCCTCCTGAGTAGCTGAAACTACAGGCGCACACCACCATGCCCAGCTAATTTTTGTATCTTTAGTAGAGATGGGGTTTCACCTTGTTGACCAGGATGGTCTCGATCTCTTGACCTCATGATCCACCCGCCTTGGCCTACCAAAGTGCTGGGATTATAGGCGTGAGCCACCACGCCTGGCTTGGTTTGAGTTTTTGATGCTGAAGCACAAACTGTTGACTTTATCTTTGTCCTCATCAGTGCTGCTCATTGTCTCCCAGTATGACCTGGCCATGCCCCTGCACTTACCCTCATCTTGCTCAACCATCTCCATGCACAGTCCAATTCCATCAGTGATTCAGGCTCCTCCCAAGGCTCCCTGAAATGGGTACAGGTAGCAGGATATCAGACACACTCCAGGCACAAAAGTAACCCATACCCTAAGGCAGGCAGTTGTGTTCCCACTTCCCTGAAGTTGGCAGTGATGTACTAGGATGGGAAGAAATACTTTCCCTTGTTAGGGCTCTATTCTTCATGTAGCAGGGCCTCAGACCTTGTGATCCACCCGCCTCGGCCTCCCAAAGTGCTGGGATTATAGGTATTAGCCACCAGGCCTTGCCAATCTGAAAATGTTCTCTTATGCTTCCCCCTGTCATTAGGAGCAATGTCCTTTGACATACCTTCCCAGCCTCCGGGCTGCCACAACACCTCAGTTGGTTAGAACTAGTGTATCTTGTTGAAATGATGTTTCTGTTCTTCCACTCACTGGCTTTTCTTTGGAGACATTAAATAGCTGAATCCCAAGTGCTCAGCACAGTATAAAGAAAATTAAATACTCAATAAATATTTATGAGAAACTTCCCTCAACTGAAGCTGCAGAAGAATAGTAAAGTATCACTGCTTCACATACAAGCGAGGGACACTTACTCTGGCACCTGACCTAGGACAGAGCTGTTCGGTGTAAGAATGAACGCCTCCAACCCTTCTCTAAGCACGGTTATTCCCTCGAACCCACAGTGACCTGAAGAGCATCCACTGCTACGGCAGCCCCGAGGTCGAGGCTCCTGGGTCTGAGGGAGGGGGGCTCATGGTCACATCCTCCCCCTCCTGGAGTTGAAGCTGCCCCTCACTATAAACCAGCTCTGATCTACCCTATAGCTCTCCCTGGCCACAGGCAGGAGATTCCTGTGGAGTAGTTTCTCAGTCCCCACTGCTCAGCTCATGCTGCTTCCTGAGAATTTAAGTGATCATAGGCATTGCCCATTTCCCCTGAGGCTTCTGTCCCAGTTTGTCCTTATTCTCCCCTTCTTTGGTTTTCATCTATCAATGGCTTATCCTTTGTGGATTATTCTCATCCCCTAAACTTGCTGACTTTCTTTCTTTCCTCAGCTCTGGGATTTCAGGATGTAGACTCAGCTCAGGCTCCTACAGGAGACACACACAGTCAGGTCTCAGCTGACGGTCCCAGGCAGCACTGAAAACCATCTCAATTCCTCGGAGACTCAGAGAAACAGAGCAGGAAGGGACCTCAGAGAGGTACAATAAGCCCCTACCTTACCCATGAGGAACCTGAAACCCAGAAAGACTAAGACTCTCCCAGGCACCCTCACCTCTTGGTGACAGCAGATCCCACACACAAGCCTTGGCCTCAGCCTCCCTGTGCAGAGCAGGTAACTCACCCTCTAGAAGCTCACTGCTGACTTTCAGAAAACTTTAGAATAGAAATACCAATTTCCTCTGTGAAAACAAAAACAGTAAAAGCCCCTTTCCTTGGACAAACCCTTTATCACAGTTCTATAGTCCTGGCATTTGTACTCGGTCAGCTGTCACTCACTAGCTGCTAGATTGGGGCCGGGAGCACATAGGATTAAAGAGTGTTTCACACAACCCTGCTCTCTTGGCCTGGGCTCTCAGCTCCTTGATTCTTCCTCAGAAAGATTCCTCTGCTGTTAACTGCTGGAGAGTCCAGGCCCTCACATGGGCCATTTCTCCAAGAAGATCCCTGTTATTTTCTTCCTTTCTTGGAGATAAAGAGGGAAGAGATGGGTTCTGGGACTCCAAAGTCTTAGGTTTTTCTCCTGAGCCAGCCAGATCAGCTGAAAGCAATCATGACTGTGAGAAGTCAGGACAGTGAAGAGGAGCACAGGCTCACAAGGACAGCCCCTCCTAAAGATGCTCAGAACTGTGACACAGGCAATATCTGACCAATTCTTCTGGGGATGACGCAACAAAGATTAAGTGCAGAATGCTGCCATGAGGGGAAAGGGGAAGAACCAAAAGAGTTGGGGAAGAAGAAAAATAAAATGTGTTCAAAAATGATGGAAAAAAACACAGAGCCTGGAGGCAGAGAAGGGAGGAGCCTGAGAAGGACTCCATGAGTTGTGATTGGTTGAAAGATGGAAAAGACAGGTAAGGAGAAAAGCAGGTGGCATTTGAAGTCAGAGTGTCTCCTGGCTGACAGCCAGCACAGAAAAACGGCCCTCAGTCCTCCACAAACAAGAATACAAACGCTTTCAATACATGTAGTGAACTCACAAAATGGCCTGAGCTCTAGAGAAAAAGCATTCCCAGGCCATTCCTGGATTTTAGCCTCACAGGACCCTGATCAAAAAACTCAGGAAGGAAGGAAAAGAAGGAAACAAGGGAGGGATGGGGGAACAGACAAACTTACATGAAGATGAGGAGATCCAGGGGAACTTACACCACTGATATTTTCCATTAATGGGAACACGGAATCTGGGGGGGGAGGGAGAGAGAGAGAGAGAAACAGAGAGAGAGAGAGAGAGAGAGAGAGAGAGGAGAGAGAGAGAGAGAGAGAGAGAGAGAGAGAGAGAGAGAGAGAAAGGCACTACTATAAAACCATACACCGCGTTCATGGCGTACAATCCTTCCTGGGACGCTTTCTGTCTCTGGCCTGCTGTTGCTAGAGACAGTGAGTCTTCCCTTTGGATAAGTTCTGGCACCCACAGGAATGAGATGAAACAGTGAACCCCTCAACACCAGGCCACGACCTTTCCTGCTGCTCCTCATCCACTCCAGAAGCTACCTGGGTGCAGGTGGGGGTCTTAGCCCCTGGGTCTGACATTGTCCCTTTGCCTTTCTCACTGGGCTTCTCTCCTTGCACTGGCTCCCAGTCCCCCAGGACCTGGAAGGTGACCATATGAGAAGGACACAAACAGGCCACATCACTTTCTTTCTCCCCCTCTCGATGCCTGAAGTGGTGGGTTCCATGGGATAGCAACCTGGTATTTACTCATTATGGTGCACCTAGACCAGAGCAGGGCCTGGCACCAACAGCCACCCTGTGAATGCTCAGTGAAAGACAGCATCCACCACAAGGTCCTGAGGAACCAAGAATTCCACAGTGGCCCATCAATTTTAAGTCCTACACCATTCTAGAATGGGATATTGAAAGGCCTTCAAAAGTGGCCACACTCTGAAATGATTATACAGGCAGCCGAGCCATGTTTCCCCATCCTGGACACATCTAGAGGGCACCGCCTAAATCCAGACACATCTCCCCACCCAGGACAGTGCAGGGGCCTTAGCCTGGGAAATGCGGGTGGATGGGAGAACCATGAAAGCTGAAGAGGAGAAAGTATGTGAAAAGAAAGACAAATGGGGATGGAGACTAGGGGGTGAGAGGGGAAGAGAGAGGAGAGGGACTGAGAAAAAGGCCTGAAGAGAAACTGTCCTCTCCTGAAGTCAAATAACTTTCACCTGACCATGCACTACAGCTCGTGGGTGGCACACGCTGGTCATGCTGCGATGTTTAGGGCTTATGGAATCTTCCCTTCTCATCTGAATCCCAATAGAGAGAGGACTCTCTGACCCCATCCAGCTGGCAGTGCCTCATGATTTTTACCTGTTGGATCTGACAGCTCTTCATGTCAGCCCACACCGTGGGAGGCTGCTCTTGGTGCGCTGAATGGGGAAGATTCTACATCGGTGCCTCGGAGAGTCCACTGGAAGCCCTGGACGGCCAGAGTCGGTGGTGCCCCAGCATGGAGGCCCAGAGCACACAGCACTGAAGCTCCAGATGCCCTCAGGAGGACAGAAAAGGACACTGTGCCGGTGAGAGCCTGGGTTAGCAAGAACCTCTGCCTGGATCTGAACATGATTGGCCTTCATATAAGCTATGACATAAAAGAGAGAAATCAAGGTTAACATTAAGATTTGGGGCTTGGGCAACATGAAGGATGAAACTGCCATTTGTTGAGACTCGGAAGACTAAGAAAGGAGCAGACTGAAGGGTGGCGGGAACTAGGGTTGGTTGGGTTTCTGTCGTATGCAATCAACAGTCCTGACCAGCCTGGGAAATATAGTAAGACCCTGTCTCTGAAAATAAAAATTAGCCAAGCATGGTGGTGCACACATGCAGTCTCAGCTACTTGGGAGACTGGGGCAGGAGAATTCCTTGAGCCTTGAGTTACATGTTACAGTGAGCTATGATGGCACCACTGCACTCCAACCTGCAGGAGGAAAAAGAAAAGGTCCTGATTAAATACTTGCACATCCAGAGAAGTTTTCACAAAGTACTCCTTGAGGCAGATCTTAGTGAACAGAAATTCCATTCATTCTGTTAGGAAATTAAGAGTGTAGGTGTGGTTAGTTAATGCTGAATGAACTATCTTTGGAATCTCATCTACTGGTCCATCCGGTCTATTTATATTCGTGTGTGTGTGTGTGTGTGTGTGTGTGTGTGTGTGTGTGTATTCTGTCTGCCATCTCACTGAGCTTCCCTAGTTTATGCTGCAGTAACAAAAGCCCCCAAAATCTTAGCAGCTACACATACAAAGGTTGATTTTCATTGACATTTCCTCGTATGGCAGGTTAACTGTGACTCTACTCTAGACACGCTCTTTTATTTGTTAGATGGTGAATGCTGCGATACTTGGAGAATTTATAAATGTGGTTCATTCATTCATTTAACAACTGTTTCAATAACTGTATCATACCAGGCAAGGTCAAGTACTGAGAACACGGTAGCAAATAAGAAACAACATCTCTAATTTCCAAGACCTTATATTAAAATGAGATTAAATGCATACAAAATAACCATAATGAATATCATATTCATAAATTAAATAGACTTAGTAAATATTCTAAGTTACAAAAATATAAAATTATTAAAACTAAAATGGCCAGGTGTGATAGCTCACACCTGTAATACCAACAACTTTGGGATGACAAGGTGGGAGGATCATTTCAGCCCAGGAGTTTCAAACCAGTCTGGGCACCATAGGAAGACCCTGCATACAAAAGGTACAAAATTAGCCAGGCATGGTGGTGCATGCCTGTAGTCCCAGCTACTTAAGGCTGAGGTGGGAGGCTGCTTGAGCCTGAGAGGTCAAAGCTGCAGTGAGCCACGATCATACCACTACACCACTGTACTCCAGCCTCGGCAACAGAGCCAGACCCTGTCTCAAGGAAAAAAAAAAAGGAGAAGAAGAAGAAACAATTTAATCGATATACTCCTGAGACTATTATGTAGAATCCTATTGTCTACATTATATCGCAGCCCTTTACTTTAAGTGGCTTAACAGTTAGATATGATCCATAAAATTTTCCTGGTAATTAACTATACCTAAGAACAATTAAGTGTAAAAGAGGTACTGCCTTGACAGGAAGATTGTAAAAATGTTTAAAGACAAATAAATAAAGAAGAGAATAAAACCTGTAGCTCTGTGAGGCACAAATAACATCTAATTGAAGTCACAATGAACATCTAGCAATCATTCTGAAAACCAAAGAATTCACTTAATACATTTTGCCTGAACTCCCAAAAGATCTCACTTACCAACACCTGTATGTAGCCAAGAAAGTGACAATAGTTTATAAATTACCACCTATGACTCCATCTGCTCTACCCACTTAAAAATTTCATGTATTTCTTTATTCTTTATTATTTTTTGTAGAGACTGGATCTTGCTATGCTGCCCAGGTTGGTCCAGGAACAGACCCACACTTATTTGCTCAATCAGATGACCATACAGCCATCCAATTGATGAAAAAAAGTGCTACACAGTGCATAAGGACAAAGATGGTCTTCTCCATACATGGTTCTGGATCAAACTGTCAGTCACATCCATGTAGTAAAAAGTGAATCATGGGTGGGTGGGTTGGCTCGAATCCTAGCCCTCTGGGAGGCTGAAGCAGGCAGACTACTTGAGCCCAAGAGTTTGAGACCAACCTGCGAAAATGGTGAATCCCCATCTCAACAACAACAACAAAAAAATAGGAAACTTAGCCAGGAATGGTGGCACATGCTATGGTCTCAGGTACTCAGGAGGCTGAGCGGGGAAGATTGCCTGAGCCAGGAAGTGGAGGTTGCAGTGAGCTGAGATTATGCCACTGCCCTCCAGCCAGGGCAATAGAGTGACAGCCTATCTAGGGCACAGGGGTGGGGGGTGGGGAAGCATAAACTAAACTAAAATTGCTATGAGATTCAGTTTTCATATTCTTAGGTTAGGCATTGATTAACTGGACACAAAACACAGTCACCGTAAACGAAAAGATTGATCAAGTATAAGTTCATTAAAATTAAGTAACTCAGGCTGGGTACACTGGCTCATGCCTGTAATCCCTACGCTTTGGGAGGCCAAGGCAGGTGTTATCACTTGATCCCAGGAATTCCAGACCAGCCTATGCAATATGTTAAAACCCAATCTCTATTAAAAATACAAAAAAGAGCTGAGCATAATGGTGCTCCCTTGTAGGTCCCAGCTACTTGGGGGCTCAGGCAGGAGACTCTCTGGAGCCTAGCTTGGGAGGTGGAGGTTACACTGAGCTGTGATTGTGCCACTGCACTGCAGCCTGAACAACAGAATGAGATCCTGCCTCAAAAAGAAAAGAAAACTGGAGAATCTCCATTCACGTAAAAACACCACTAAAAGAATGAAAAGGCATGCTACAGTTTGAAAAATAGAGAAATGTAATATATATAATACATATATATCCTAAAAATGAGACACATCCAGAATAAAGTATTACAAATCAACAGAAAAACAAGCATATCAATGAAAACAGGATAAGAAGATTGAACAGGCACTTCACAAAAGAGGACATATAAATGGTAATAAAAGTACTCAATCTCAATGTCAGGAAAATGCAAAATGAAACTACACTGATATATTACTGCACCTCTACTAGAATGGCAAAATAATTTTGAATGGACAAGAATAAGCAAAGATGTGGGGTAACCAGAATATTCCCCGCTCAGCAGTACAACCACTTTGTGAAAATGATCAACAATAACTGATACTAAAGTTTTGTCATTCACATACCTCTAAAACCAACAATGCCACTCCTACATTTATACACCAATCTAGTAATGTTCTATTTCTTGATATATGGTGAAATTTACTTAGTGTAAATTCATTACCTGTATTTCTTTTCTTTTCTTGAGACAGGCTCTCACTCTGCCATCCAGGCCTGAGTGCACTGGCATAATCATGGCTCACTGTAATCTCAACCTCCCAGGTTCTGGTGATCCTCCCATCTCAGCCTGCCGGGTAGCTAGGACTACAGGCACATACCACCACACAGCTGATTTTTGTCTTTTCAGTAGAGACGGGGTTTGCCACGTTGCCCAGGCTGGTCTGGAACTCCTGGGCTCAACTGATCTGCTCACCTTGGTCTCCAGAAGTGCTGGGATTACAGGTGTGATCCACGGTCCCGGGACCACCTGTACATTTAAAATTGTGAGCTTCCTCTGTAGACTTCAGTAACTTTTCCAAGATTTCTTTGACACAAAGTTCTCAGAAATCTTAAAGCTACCATTTTAGAAGAGGAATAGCGAGCTTCTGGTTCACAGGTGAAATTTTACCAGTAACATTTAAAAACAAAAGAAAGCTACTAACGCGTATCAGCTCAGAACAAAGATGAAAAACTACCAGCAGATTACTTTTCTTTAACTTTGTCAAGCACTGGGAGTGAAAGAAAAGATAGCACTGCAAGAAGAGACTCCCTTTTGAAAGCAGCTTTACCAGCAACACACAGAAGGAAATGGAGGAAAGCATTCCAGAAATCTTGCTTAACTCTTCTGTGAGAGGATGCCAAACCAGATGATCTGAGAAGCTCCCAAGGCAGACAGACACAGGGAAACCACAGCAACTCTTTGGAGCGCAAACAGCAGCACCACAATCCAACCTACTGGAAATGCTGCGGGTCATTTGAGGCTTGCCCCGCTAGTCCTGAGGCGATTCAGCGACGGCTACAAATGCTCCCCTAGTGCTTCCGGGATCTGGCACACCTGGCTTGCCCACCACCAAGCTGGAGACAGCGCCAGGTGTGGAATCCCGGAGACCAATGAAGACCCCAACTTTGCAAATTTGGGGCTTGAGATCTCCCGCCACTCAGGTCCCCAGAGGTAACCCATTTCTGGCCTCGAAGGTGGGGCAAAGGGTCAATGTCCTCCACCAGATCTAGGAGGATGTGCCACTGAAGCTGCTCCATCCCTCCACCTCCTGTGATGCCACAGGAAGACTCGCCCGCGAGTTTCCTCCCCAGAGCACAGGAGAACAGGGCTGCGGCCGGCAGTGGCAGGGCAGGAATCCAATGCAAGCAACTTAAGCGCTGGGGGGGTGGCAGGCGCGCCCGCCCCGCTGGCACAGCAAAAGTTGTGGAGGCCCCCTGCACACACATCAACTCAGCTGTGCGCCTGTTTCCGGACTCACTGCTCTCCGGCTTGGCGCTGTGCCCTTACCTCAAAAGGCTGGGTGGACTTCCCCTAAACCTTGACTTCCTACTAAACCTTAAACTTCAGTGCAGATCCCGGCCGCCGCCCCGCGGCAGCACTCACCTCGGAAACGCTGCCTGGACTTCCCGGTAAAGCTTAACTTAGTGCGCCTCCGACGCACCGGCCCGCGCCACCGATGGGCGGCCTGCGCCTACCGCGACGCTGATGCCCAGTTACCGCCGACAGAGCCTCCGACGCCGCTATCTCCCCACAGACCCTCTGGGCGCCCCCGACGCGCGGTCGCCGCAGACCCTCTGGACGCTGCTGACGGGACCGAGCCGCGGACGCCACTGACGCTGTCAGCGCCTGGGACGCCGCCGACCCGCTGACCGCTCTCGGCCGCCCCGGAAGAGCCTACCGCGCCACCTACACTCCCGACGTGCCGACTGCACTGCTGATTCCATCCGCGCCTGCGACGCCGCCGCAGCGCCTCTGATGTCGCCGTCGCGTGGCAGACGGGCCCACCGCGCCGCGAACATCCCCAACATTCCGGAGTCGCCCACTATGCAGACCGCAGCGGGTACACCCCCGACGTAGTGACCGTTCCTGGGACGCCACCATTGCGCCACAGACCTCGCGGACGCCGTCAGCGCCTGGGACCCCCGCCTCCGAACCGATGACCGCACCACGGATGTCCCCGACCAGCATACCGCGCCGCCGATGCCACTGACCTTTTGAGTGGCTGGGAAACCGCCGAACCGCTAACCGTGCTGTGGATGCACCAGACCAGCTTACTACATCGCCTACATTCTTGACGGACCGACCGTGCCGCCATGCATTCCGCGCCTGGGATGCCTTCGACGCACCGTAGGTGCTGTGGTCGCGCCACTGACGTCACTGATGCGCCGACGACGCTGACGCCATGGACACCCCCCTCCACGCCACCTACACGGATCGCGCCTCCAACACCGCTGACGCAGTCGAAGCGGGGACCGCGCCACCAACGGCACTAACCTTGTGAGCGGCTAGGAAGCCGCTGAACCGCTAACCGCGCCGTGGATGCACCCGACCAACTTACTGCATCGCCTACGTTCTGGACGCGCCGACCGCGCCGCCAATGCATTCCGCGCCTGGGACGCCTCAGACGCACCGTAGACGCCGGGGTCGCGCCGCTGACGTCACTGACGCGCCGACCACGCTGACGCCATAGAACCCCCCATGCCCCCCCCGCCGACACCACCTGCGCGGATTGCGCCTCCAACGCCGCTGAAGCAGTCGAAGCGCCACCGACGGCACTGACCGTGTGAGCGGCTGGGAAGCCGCCGAACCGCTAACTGCGCCGTGGATGCACTCGACCAGTTTACTGCACTGCCGACATTCCCGACGCGGCGACCGGCTGCTGATGCCATCCGCGCCTGGGACGCCTCCGACGTACCGTAGATGCCGCCGTCGCGCCGTGATGTCGCTGATGCGCCGACCACACTGACGCCATAGACACCCCTGGACACCGCCGGCGCGGACCGCGCCTCCGTCTCTGCTAACGCAGCCGAAGAGCGGACCGCGCCGCCTACAGCACTGACCCTGTGGGTGGCTTTCCGAACCGCGCCAATGCCATCCGTGCCTCGGACTCCGGCCACGCACCATAGACGCCTCCGACTGCCGCTGACGCTGTCAGCGCCTGGGACACCGCCAATGAAGCTACTGTGCAGGTAAGAGCAAAACCTATCTCTGACTTCGTGGTCCTCTCCCGCTTGTATTCTAAGCCTGAAGCAGGACCCCGTTCCATCAATTTTCTGAAAACCGGGGATTCTGCTTTGTGTAGAGGAGAAAACCAAAAATAGCAGCCATTAGTTCCATGTTTGTAGTTTAGAAAGTGAGAGACTTTAGCATTTCTACTTTCTTTTGTAATAGGAACTTTGTGAGGCGAGCCAGTGAATATTGGTTTCTGTTCACATACTTCTGATTTATTTCCAATTCTTGTTCATATGTAAATATACATTTCTCTCTCCTTCTCTCTGGCTGTCTCTTCTTACTTTTACAGAAGCATTGTCAGGGTCCATGAGGCACATACTATTATCTCTGTTTTATAGAGGAGGATACAGACTTCTGAAGCTAAGTACCCTGTCTAAGCTAACATAGCTAATAAATAAGTAGCAGATCCAGTAAGCTAGGCAGTATGGCTCCTCTGTTTCCTTCTCCATGTACCTTTGGGTAGTACAGAAATTGAAACCATCACTATGATAGCACATACAGCGTTTAGTATTCCTTTCGTTTTGTGCTTCCCTCTCTAAGGTTACACTGGGGAAAAAATAAGTAAATGAACTGAGTGTCCATTTATCCTCATCTAACATTAATTTTTACATGCCATGAACAAATAGGATAAAGACTTATTTCAGAAAGCAATAGTTACATAAGTGGCCACAAGAGATAGTTTTCTCTATTGTTAGTATTCATTCCTGGGACATGTATTTAGAGACTTCCGTGTTCCGGGCCTGGTAAAACAAAAATGCGTAAAACACGGTACTTAGTTTCAAGAATCTCACGGCTCCTTCTTCTGTGATAGTCTTTTAAGCCCTTTGCTATTTACTAGAGGCAGTTCTTTCCCCAAGAAACTTACAGGGTCCCTTCTGTATTAGGATCTTAGTGCAACACTGCTCTGCAGACTTGGATCAGGGCAGAGTGAGGTAGCGGAGGAGCTGTGCCAGCATCTACAGCGAAAGGAAAAGATGCTGCAGGACCTTCTGAGTGATCGACACAAACGAGTGGTGGAACACGAAATGGAGATTCAAGGCCTGCTTCAGTCTGTGAACTCCAGGAAGCAGGAAAGCCAAGTAAGGACTTAGCAGAAAAGTATCACATAGTGCATTTTTAGTCTGCAAATGGGAAGCATTTGCAGACTATGGATACGTGTATGTTTATATATTTGACTGTCAACTCTTAGTTTCTTTCCTTCCATTTATTTCCTAGACCACAGTTTTATTTATTTAGAGATGGGGGTCTCTCTTTGTGCAGGCTGGTCTTGAAGTCCTGGGCTCAAGCAATCATCCTGCCTTAGCTTCCCAATGTGCTGGAATTGTAGGTGTGAGCCACTGTGCCTGGCCTTAGACCACAGTTTTATATTCATCATCAAAGTATGAAAAATTTTTTTGAAAATTTTACATTTGGAAGGGTGCCTAAACAATACATGTATCCGTTAGCTTCATTACATGTGTTTTCTTTTCCTTAATAATCTGATGATTTTGAGAGAAAGGAGTAGGGGTTGTGGAGTGTTTTGATTTTGATTCTAAATTATTAAGACTAGAGTGGGGCCGGGCATGGTGGCTTACGCCTATAATCCCAGCACTTTGGGAGGCTGAGGTAGGTGGATCACAAGGTCAAGAGATCGAGACCATCCTGGTCAACAAGGTGAAACCCCGTCTCTACTGAAAATACAAAAATTAGCTGGGCACGGTGACGTGCACCTGTAGTCCCAGCTACTCCAGAGGCTGAGGCAGGAGAATTACTTGAACCCAGGAAGCGGAGGTTGCGGTGAGCTGAGATCGTGCCATTGCACTCCAGCCTGGGTAACGAGTGAAACTTCGTCTCACACACACACAAAAAAAGACTGGAGTGATAACTTTGCATTTTCAATGAAGGTATGGGAAAACTTACACTCAACCTGTTTAATCTTAGTTTTTGTTAAATCTGAGTTATCTTAAGAGGAAGAAAAGATTGCATTTTTCAAAGATCATGATGAGAGAGAGAATGAATAATCTCATTACGGTATGGGGTATACTACTTTCACAGTAGTTCAGAAGTAAATTTTTTTGTTTTTGAGGTGGTATCTCCTTCTGTCACCCCGGCTGGAGTGCAGTGCCGTGATCTCAGGTCACTGCAACCTCTGCCTCCTGGGTTCAAGCAATTCTCCTGCCTCATCCTCCCAGGTAGCTGGGATTACAGGTATGCACCACCATGCCCAGCTCATTTTTGTGTTTTTAGTAGAGATGAGGTTTCACCATTTGGCCATGCTGGTTTCCAGTTCCTGGCCTCAAGTGATCCATCCACCTGGGTCTCCCAAAGTGCTGAGATTACAGGCATGAGCCATGATGCCCTGGCCAGGAGTAAATTCTTAAGTTTTTCTCATTTCTGTGTTTTTTCTCCTCAAATCTAAAGTCTCTTAGTTGTCGTGTGCTGCGTTTCAAAGACCACTAACTCAGAATCTCCCTAGTCAGGTTTTAGAGGAAGAAAGACTCTTGCCTATGTTATTTGACCCCATAATAATTTTTTATGTTTCCTTATATTGTAAGGGGATTATCCTCCACTGTTCTGATGGTTAGCCCCACTGAAGTACCAAATTGTGAGGATACTCTCAGTGCTGTCATTGTGATCATAGTTCCTGCATCTTCCTAAGTCCTTCAGTTTTTTAGGGTCCAGTGCAGATACCTTCCAGAGATGATAGTCCTTTATTGACTGCCAAAGAAGATGCCAGCATACCCAGATCCACATTAGGTGAGTATGAAATTTCATTTCATTCAGGGACTTTGTTTTCTGTTATTCCTTGTATTAATAGGTTTGGCTGAGACTCTTTTCTCTTCCTACCTTAATGGAAAAAATAAGTTTGGATTTCCTCTGAAAAGTTGAAGAACTGTCCTTCCCTAATGTTGCATTGAGGTTATCTCTTTGGGGTCACAGTTTGGCCCAGAGAAAGTCTGTCCTTATTCTCCTTTTCAGATAGTTTTGCAGGGATGCAGAAATGCAGGAGGTAGTGGTTCCAATCCTGCACAGCAGGGCCCTGTGCTGACAGCTTTTCCTGGGTATCTATCAAGTCTGGGGCCACTCGCTGTAACTTGACGTCACCTGCGTTCAACTGTTAGGAAGGGTAGGCGGTGTACATTGAGCTACTTGCCAGGCCAAGCCCCATTCAGGGGATGGTTTAGAAAAGTCTAACGAGTAGTCAGTCTCTATTTTGAAAACTTTGTATTCATCAAAGAGAAAAATATTGTTGGATTTGTTTTATTCTTTATTTACCGGTTTAAAAAAGTGTACTTTTGTCTAAATTTTGTATTTTGGAAATTTCAAACCTATAGAAAAGGGGCAAGAATAGTATAGTGAATACTCACATACATTTTTGTTCAGACCAGTTATAAACATTCTGCCACATTTGCCTTATTTCTTTGTATGTACACACACATATGTGGATGTAATGTATTTTCTGAACCATTGCAGACTTTCTCACAGAAATCATGACACTTTATGCTGCATACATCAGTATTTCCTAAAAACAAGGGCATTCTCCTACATAGCCACAATATAATCATCATACTCAGAAAATTTAACCTTGGTAGAGGCTTAGTATCTCGCAGTCCACATTCAGTGTTCCTATTGTCCCAATAATGTTCCGTATAGCTTCCTTGGTTCCCCCCAACCCAGGGGTTATGCATTGTGCTTAGTTGTCATGTCTCTTAGTCTCTAATGTAGAACAGTTGTTTAGCTTTTATTTCTTTATAGCAAAACTGGTGTTTTTGAAGAATTCAGGACTGTGAATATTCCTCAGTTTAGCCGTGATTGTTTTCTCATGGTTAGATTCCAGTTAAACATTTTTGGCAGTAATACCATATGGATGAATTCCCTCTCCCCTCGCCTCCCCAGCCCACCGGACCCCGTTTCTTTTCTTCTCTTTTTTTTTTTTTTGAAACAGAATCTGTCATTGCCCAGGCTGGACTGCAGTGGCACCATCTCAGCTCACTACAGCCTCTGCTTCCGGGGTTCAAGCGATCTTCCCACCTCAGCCTCCCAAAGTGGAGCTAGAACTACAGGCATGTGTCACCATGTTTGGCTAGTTTGTTTGTTTTGTTTTGTTTTAATAGAGATGGGGTTTCACCATGCTGGCCAGGTTGGTCTGGAACTCCTAGCCTCAAATGATCCACCTGCCTCAGCCTCCCAAAGTGCTGGGATTACAGATGTGAGCCTGGCTGACATCTTTCTTAGTGTATCACATCAGTGCATGATAATCAGTTTGTATCATCCTTGGTGATATTAAATTTAGTCATTTGGTTAAGATTGTAGCTGCCACAGCTCTCCATTTTAAAAAGGTTCATTTTCCCTTTTATATTTAAGTCATCTGAGGGCTGAATTTGAGATGTTGACAGTTCTGTTTTCCAACAGTCATTCACTGTGGCTATAATAGCATTTGAGCCTTGCTTGAACCAACTCTTAGGTTGGTAGCTTAAAAATAGTGATTTTTTGCCAGGCGCGGTGGCTCACACCTGTAATCCCAGCACTTTGGGAGGCTGACGCAGGTGGATCACAAGGCCAAGAGATCGAGACCATCCTGGTCAACATGGTGAAACTGCGTCTCTACTAAAAATACAAAAAATTAGCTGGGCATGGTGGCACGTGCCTGTAATCCCAGCTACTCAGGAGGCTGAGGCAGGAGAATTGCCTGAACCTGGGAAGTGGAGGTTGCAGTGAACCGAGATTGCTCCATTGCACTCCAGCCTGGGTAACGAGCGAAACTCCATCTCAAAAAAAAAAAGTGATTTTTCAGGGCCGGGCACAGTGGCTCATGCCTTTAATCCCAGCAGTTTGGGAGGCCCAGGAGAGTGGATCACTTGAGCTCAGGAGTTCGAGGCCAGCCCAGCCAATATGATGAAACTACGTCTCTACTAAAAAGACAAAGATTAGTCAGGCTTGGTGGCACATGCCTGTAATCCCAGCTATGCAGGAGGCAGTGGCAGGAGAACCGCTTGAATCCAGGAGGCAGAAAGAGTGCCCCACTGCACACCAGCCTTGGTGACAGAATGAGACTTGGTCTCAAAAAAAAAATTAAGATTTTTCTGTTTGTAAAATTTCTTCTTTATTTCTTGTGGATATTATTTTATAAAGAAGTGCTGTTCTTTCCCTATCTCTGTACCCCATTTGTTTTTATCAATATGGTTTAAAAAAATCATTATATTATTGATTTTGGTCATGATTTCCTTAACTCCTCAAATTAACCCAGATTCGGTCAGTGGGAACCTCACTGAGCTGTTTCTCTGACCCTTTGCCATATCCCCACCAGTTTTTTTGGTTGGTTGGTTTTTTGTTTTTTGCACTTTCTTAGTTTCTGGTACAATAAGATGTTCTGTGACTACCTTTTACTTACCTGTCTCAGTCCCAGAATCAGCCATTATCCTAAAGAGCTCCCTGGTTCCTTTTGGTGGATAATGGCATTGAAAAACTGTGATCTGGGCATCAGATGTCTTTATTGCTACATGAATACCTTTTGCTTCTAGGCCCTTTTAAGTGAACAGAGCTAGTAGTGGATATTTTTAAGTATATATGTATGTATTTGTATACATATGAAGATTTGATACTGATTTCTGTAATTCTAACTTAACAATATGGTACTTTTTTCCTTCATTTCATATTTGTATCTCCTTGAGAGCCCTGGTTACTTATAACATCAATATATTTCAAAGGATTTACACATTTTCATAATCCTATAATATACAAAAGTAGTTTCTGAATTACTACATGAATACCACTATCAACAGTAAATGTATTATGTGATGTTTACATTTTTTGGTAATTCTTTTTATCCTTAAGGTATTTTTGTAATTCTTTTTATTCTTAGGGTATTTTGGACTGATGGTGTTCAGTTAGTGAGTTCAAATTTATTTGGATTAATTTGTCTTATCTTCTGGGTGGTTTTATTATCTATTTACTATATAGATTCATTTATTTCTATTAGGATTTAACTTTAGGTTTTTTTATCTCCCTTTAATTGTCAAGATGACTTACATATTAAGAATTCAACTTTAACACAGTTCGAAACTCCAGTATATAAAATGATATACCCAGATGTCCCATCTCTTTCCCTATCCCTTCTCTCCTATTTCCATTCATCTCCTGAAGGTAATCAGTTTCATTTCTGGGTTATTCTTCCTCTATATGTTTTTTTCAAAAATCAGCAAATGAATCATCTGTGTATATGTAATGTATATATGTATATTCTTATTCCCCCTTTTTGTAATGTAAAACTTACTACCTTAGATGTGTTCTTGAGCAGGTAGCTTGTACTCCTTAACATATTCTCAGGATTTCTAAACCGTTCCATATAAGTTCATAAAGATCGTTCTTATTCCTTTCTTTCAGCAGTATGTAGTTCCATCTGTGAATATACTCTACTTCATTCAGTCTTCTCTTGATAGCATGCAGGATAATTGCGGTATTTTGCTATTATAAATAATGCTACAAAGAACAACCTGCTTATATGTTTTATTTTTATCTTATTATTGGAATGTGTCCTCGGTAAACTGACTCAAAGGAGGCAGCTAATATCACATTATGTGAACAGGAATTAAAACTAGCACTCTGTTTTCATTTTAGGAGACTTGAACACAATGGCAGGGCTGGAAAAAGAACTGAGTAATGCAAAAGAGAAACTTGAACTCACGGCTAAAAATGAAAGAGAAAGTCAGGTGAGTTTTCTAGTCAAGTCTTAATTTTTAAATCCCTATTATTTTTTCCTTCAAAATAGTTTATATTTAAAAGCGTTTAGTTCTTCAAGTAGAATATCTGAGTCCAAATGCCAGGTATGACTTTTTTCTTCTTTGGGAAAAATATGTTATTTTTCATATACATTATTATATCAAGATGTTTTTGTCTTTATATTGGGGCTATTAAAACTTACTATGTGCTGGAAAAACACAACTCTCACTCCCCATTGCTAATTGGAATAAAACAACTGTAAAGGCTGAGCGTGGTGGCTCACGCCTGTAATCCTAGCACTTTGGGAGGCTGAGGCGGGCTTATCAACTCCTGATCTTGAGGTCAGGAGTTGGAGACCAGCCTGGCCAATATGGCGAAATCCCGTTTCTACTAAAACTACAAAAATTAGCCAGGTGTGGTTGTGGGTGCCTGTAATCCCACCTACTCGGGAGGCTGAGGCAGGAGAATCGCTTGAACCCAGGAGGCAGAGGTTGCAGTGAGTTGAGGTGGTGACATCAGACTCCAACCTAGGAAATGAGCAAAACTCTGCCTCCAAAAAAAAATAGCAAAGCACTAGTGTAAATAGGGAAGTATTGAGTGATTGCTGCTTAGAGTTATGACATTAGACCCATGAAATTAGTTTTAGAAACATGAAACAATGCAAGGATACACAAAGGCTCAAAATAAAGGGATGGAGGAAGATTTACCAAGCAAATAGAGAGCAAAAAAAAGCAGAAGTTGCAATTCTCATCTCTGATAAAATAGACTTTAAAGCAACAAAGATCAAAAGAGACAAAGAAGGCCATTACATAATGGTAAAAGGATCGATAAAACAAGAAGAGCTAACGATCCTAAACATATATGGACCCAATGCAGGAGCACCCAGATACGTAAGGAAAGTTCTTAATGACTTAAAAAGAGACTTAGACTCCCACACAATAATAGTGGGAGACTTTAACACTCCACTCTCAATATTAGACAGATCAACCAGACAGAAAATCAACAAGGATATCCAGGGCTTGAACTCAGACCTGGAGCAAGCAAAACTGATAGACATTTACAGAACTCTCCACCCCAAATCCACAGAATATACATTCTTCTCAGCACCACATCACACCTACTCTAAAATTGACCGCATAATTGGAAGTAAAGCACTGCTCAACAAATGCAAAACAACTGAAATCATAACAAACAGCCTCTCAGACCATAGTGCAATCAAGTTAGAACTCAGAGTACAGAAACCAACCCAGAACCGCACAGCTTCATGGAAACTGAACAACTGGCTCTTGAATGTTGACTGGGTAAACAATGAAATGAAGACAGAAATAAAGAAGTTCTTCGAAACCAATGAGAACGAAGACACAACATGCCAGAACCTCTGGGACACATTTAAAGCAGTCTCTAGAGGAAAGTATATAGCAATAAGTGCCCATATGAAGAGAATGGAGAGATCCAAAATTGACGCCCTATCGTCAAAATTGAAAGAGCTAGAGGAGCAAGATCAAAAAAACTCAAAACCCAGCAGAAGACAAGAAATAACTAAGATCAGAGCTGAACTGAAGGAGATTGAGACACGAAAAACCCTTCAAAAAATCAATAAATCCAAGAGCTGGTTTTTTGAAAAGATCAACAAAATAGACAGACCACTAGCCAGATTGATTAAAAAGAAAAGAGAGAACAACCAAATAGATGCAATAAAAAATGATAAAGGGGAAATCACCACAGATTCCACAGAAATTCAAACCATCATCAGAGAATATTACAAACAACTCTAAGCACATAAACTAGTAAACCTGGAAGAAATGGACAAATTCCTGGATTCCTGTGTCCTCCCAAGACTAAACCAGGAGGAAGCTGAAACTATGAATAGACCAATAACAAGGTCAGAAGTCGAGGCAGCAATTAAGAGCCTACCACACAAAAAAAAGCCCAGGTCCAGACGGGTTCACAGCTGAATTCTACCAGACACACAAAGAGGAGCTGGTACCATTCCTTCTAAAACTATTTCAAACAATCCAAAAAGAAGGGAATACTTCCCAAATCATTTTATGAGACCAACATCATTCTGATACCAAAACCCGGCAGAGACCCAACAAGAAAAGAAAACTTCAGGCCAATATCCATGATGAACATAGATGCAAAAATCTTCAATAAAATATTGGCAAGCCGAATGCAACAGCAAATCATAAAACTTATTCACCATAATCAAGTAGGATTCATCCCAGGGATGCAAGGCTGGTTCAACATACGCAAGTCTATAAACGTAATTCACCACATAAACAGAACCAAAATCAAAAACCACATGATTATCTCAATTGACGCAGAGAAGGCATTTGACAAAATTCAACAGCCCTTTATGCTAAAAACCCTCAATAAACTCGGTATCGATGGAACGTATCTCAAAGTAATAAAAGCTATTTATGACAAACCAACAGCCAATATCATACTGAATGGGCAAAAACTGGAAGCATTCCCTTTGAAATCTGGCACTAGACAAGGATGCCCTCTTTCACCACTCCTATTCAATATAGTTCTGGAAGTTCTAGCCAGAGCAATCAGGCAAGAAAAAGAAATAAAGAGTATTCAAATAGGAAAGGAGGAAACCAAATTGTCTCTATTTGCAGACAACATGATAGTATACCTAGAAGACCCCATCACCTCAGCCCAAAAACTCCTGAAACTGATAAGCAACTTCAGCAAAGTCTCAGGATATAAAATCAATGTGCAAAAATCACAAGTATTCGTCTACACCAATAACAGACTTAAAGAAAGCCAAATCAAGAACGAACTGCCATTCACAATTGCTACAAAAAGAAGAAAATACCTTGGAATAAAACTCACAAGGAACGTAAGAGACCTCTTCAAGGAGAACTACAAACCACTGCTCAACGAAAGCAGAGAGGACACAAACAGATGGAGAAACATTCCATGTTCATGGTTAGGAAGAATTAATATCGTGAAAATGGCTATACTGCCCAAAGTAATTTACAGAATCAACGCTATCCCCATCGAGCTACCATTGACTTTCTTCACAGAACTGGAAAAAACCACCATGAACTTCATATGGAACCAAAAGAGAGCCCACATAGCCAAGTCAATTCTAAGCAAAAAGATCACAGTTGGGGGCATCACACTACCGGATTTCAAACTATACTACAAGGCTACAATAATCAAAACAGCATGGTACTGGTACCAAAGCAGAGATATAGACCAATGGAACAAAACAGAGGCACCAGAGGCACCACAACATATCTACAACTATAGAATCTTTGATAAACCTGACAAAAACAAGCAAGGGGGAAAGGATTCCCTGTTTAACAAATGGTGTTGGGAAAACTGGCTAGCCATGTGCAGAAAGCAGAAACTGGACCCCTTCCTGACACCTTACACTAAAATTAACTCCAGATGGATTAAAGACTTAAACATAAGACCTGGCACCATAAAAACCCTAGAAGGAAATCTAGGCAAAACTATCCAGGACATAGGAGTAGGCAAGGACTTCATGAACAAAACACCAAAAGCATTGGCAACAAAAGCCAAAATAGATGAATGGGACCTAATGAAACTCCACAGCTTCTGCATGGCAAAAGATCCAGTCACTAGAGTGGATCGGCAACCAATAGAATTGGAAAAAATTTTTGCAGTTTACCCATCTGACAAAGGGCTGATATCCAGAATTTACAAAGAACTCTAATGGATTTACAGGAAAAAAACAAACAAGCCCATTCAAAAGTGGGCAAAGGATATGAAAAGACACTTTACGAAAGAAGACATATATGAGGCCAACAATCATATGAAAAAATGCTCATTGTCACTGGTCATCAGAGAGATGCAAATCAAAACCACATTGAGATACCATCTCACGCCAGTTAGAATGGCGATCATTAAAAAATCTGGAGACAACAGATGCTGGAGAGGATGTGGAGAAAAAGGAACACTTTTACACTGTTGGTGGGAGTGTAAATTAGTTCAACCATTGTGGAAGACAGTGTGGCGATTCCTCAAGGCCTTAGAAATAGAAATTCCATTTGACCCAGCAATCCCATTACTGGGTATATATCCAAAAGACTATAAATCGTTCTACTATAAGGACACATGTACACGAATGTTCATTGCAGAACTGTTTACAATAGCAAAGACCTGGAATCAACCCAAATGCCCATTGATAATAGACTGGATTGGAAAAATGTGGCACATATACACCATGGAATATTATGCAGCAATCAGAAATGATGAGTTTCTGTCGTTTGTAGGGACATGGATGAATCTGGAGAACGTCATCCTCAGCAAACTGACACAAGAACAGAAAATGAAACACCGCATATTCTCACTCATAGGCGGGTGATGAAAAATGAGAACACATGGACACAGAAAGGGGAGTACCAAACACTGGGGTCTATTGGGGGGAAAAGGGGAGGGCCAGTGGGAGGGGGAGATGGGGAGGGATAGCCTGGGGAGAAATGCCAAATGTGGGTGAAGGGGAGAAAGAAAGAAAAGCACACTGCCATGTGTGTTCCTACGCAACTGTCTTGCATGCTCTGCTCATGTACCCCAAAACCTAAAATCCAATAAAAAATTAAAATAAAAAAAGAAACATGAAACAAGAAACTTGAGTATAGTCAGTGTTTACTGAGTGTTCATATGCAGTGTGCTGTGCTAGGTATTTATTTATTGGTTAATTGGTTTTGGAGATCGAGTCTTACTCTGTCACCAGGCTGGAGTGCAGTGGCACAATCTCGGCTCACTGCAACCTCCACCTGGGTTCAAGCGATTCTTCCGCCTCAGTCTCCTGAGTAGCTTGGACCACAGGTGCATCCCACCACGCCTGGCTAATTTTTGTATTTTTAGTATAGACGGGATTTCACCATGGCCAGGATGGTCTAGATCTCCTGACCTTGTGATCTGCCCGCCTCAGCCTCCCAAAGTGCTGGGATTACAGGCGTGGGCCACGGTGCCCGGCGTGTGCTAGGTATTTAAATTAGCCCTGATGCTTACAACTCTACATGAAGTAAATGGTGTCGGCCCAATTATTATAGATGAAGAAGCTGAAACACTGATTTCTCCTTTAGAATGAGAGTGGAGAATAGTCATGTAACTAATAAATGCCAAAGCTTTGATTCAAACTCCAGTCTTCTGTGGCTTCACATACTTCCTGATTCATTTTTCCCACCTTATGCCTTAACTTTCTTGAGCATAGAGTTTTCATCAATTATTTTAGAGATTCGCACCCCTCTGCCTTTCCTATATATATTTTCTTTTTCTGTTCCTAGAAGAGAAAAAGTCTGGTGTACCCACAGAGTCATGAGTGAGGAGTAAAATGGCTGATATCAAAGTGGGAAAAGTTAGGAACCAGAGCACTAGGTTTGTTAAAAGAATTAACTGGGCCGGGCGCAGTGGCTCAAGCCTGTAATCCCAGCACTTTGGGAGGCCGAGGCGGGTGGATCACGAGGTCAAGAGACCGAGACCATCTTGGTCAACATGGTGAAACCTTGTCTCTACTAAAACCACAAAAAATTAGCTGGGCATGGTGACGTGTGCCAGTAATCCCAGCTACTCAGGAGGCTGAGGCAGGAGAATTGCCCGGACCCAGGAAGTGGAGGTTGCAGTGAGCTGAGATCATGCCATTGCACTCCAGCCTGGGTAACAAGAATGAAACTCCGTCTCAAAAAAAAAAAAAGAATTAACTATACAAAGCATTTGTTACAGAGCCTGTAGCATAGTAAATGTTAGCAGGTATTGTTATTATCATGATTTTTTTTTTTTGAGACAGAGTCTTGCTCTGTCACCCAGGCTAGACTGCAGTGGCGTGATCTCCACTCACTGCAACGTCCACCTCCCAGGTTCAAGCGATTCTCCTGCCTCAGCCTCCTGAGTAGCTGGGATTACTGGCATTCACCACCATGTTGGGCTAATCTTTGTATCTTTAGTAGAGACGGGGTTTCACCATTTGAGTCAGGCTAGTCTTGAACTCCAGACCTCATGATCCGCCCACCTGGTCTTTCCAAAGTGCTGGGATTACAGGTGTGAGCCATGGCACCCAGCCTATGATGAGTTGTAGTGAACTTTGTCATAACAAAGTATTTGTCATTTCTTGTTGAGAACACTGAAAGATTAGGGCATGCAGTGCTAGCTTTTGGCAGGATTCCTTCAGAAGTGGTAGCATGTTCTTCCCTCTGGAGGCAGGTAATGTTTGGTGATCTCTTGTGATGTTAGCAGCTTTTGTGGTTTGATGCCTAATCCATTAATTCATTAAGGGTTTCAAAATGGAGATATCCTAATGCTATCATTTTTTCATCTATTAGCTGAAGTACTTACATAAAAACTTCATCTCTTGCTTCTGCTAATGGTCACCATTCTTTTTCAGTATCATAATAAGCTTGTTAAACAAATTTGATGTGTTTTATGGTGCCAGATATGGTGGAAGATGTCATTAAAAATGACTATTAAATCTTCCCATAAAACATTGTTTGTTACTATTCTGCATGGATTTTTTTATTTGATCCTGTAGAGCCCTGTTCTTGTCTCATTTTCTCTTGCATTACTGGCTGTTAGTGATATGATATGCAAAAGCATTTGCCTCCGTGTTAAAATATAAACGTGGCAGATATTGTTTCCTCTATTCACAGTTGGAACTTTCTGCTCTACAGTCCATGATGGCTGTGCAAGAAGAAGAGCTGCAGGTGCGGGAAGAAGAGCTGCAGGTGCGGGAAGGGGAGCTGCAGGTGTGGGAAGGAGAGCTGCATGTGTAGGCTGCTGATATGGAGCCTCTGACCAGGAAAGTACAAATTAAAGAAAACCTCATAAAAGTCCTTCCAGACTTTTTACAGACCATTGGAAATGTTCACATCTCAGATTACCTGTAGGGCATCTTCAGACAGTATTTGCACACATTGAATCCCTTGCCCAGTGCTTACCAATATCTCACCTGAAAGTATAGGCAGACTGTTTCAAGAACATTTGTTCCTGTGCTCATCAACTGAAGAATACTTTTATTACTATTTTCATGTTTACACTTACTTTTTGACTTCTAGGACCTGCAAATACAACTGATTATCCTGAAGACATACCACCTGTGGAATGCCTGACCCAGGAAATATTACTTCTTTGGGAAAAAGTTTCTTCAGTAGAATCCCAGGGTCAAGAAATTTGAGGAAACCAAAGACAACAGGTAAGTCTTTGGAATACAGACACTTTATCCCCTTCCCTGTCTCCCTCCCCCACTCTCTCCCCCATCCCCCACTCCCTCTCTCTCGCTCTTGCTCTCCCCCTCCCACCCCCTCTCCCCCCATTTCTCTCTCCTCTCCTCTCCCCTCCCCTCTCTTCCCTTCTCCTCTCCCCTCTCCCCTTCTCGTCTTCCTCTTTCTAAATATATATATATGGACATATTTAGACATGTCCATATCTAAGCTTGTCACCCAAGCTTGAGTGCAGTGGTACCACCATGGCTCGCTGCAGCCTCAAACTCTGGGGCTCAAGGCATCTTCCTGCCTCAGCCTCCTGAGTAGTTGGAGCTACAGGTGCATACCACCACACGTGGCACAAACCTTGTTTTTCTACTGTGGATTAAACCATGGTAGTGGTTTTTCATAAATGGTGTTTCATGGAGAAACTGTGCTCTGAAGTTTCCTACTTTGGTCGATAGCAGCTCTAGATGCCTCTTTCTGATGTGTGGTTCTGTAAAGAGCCGCAGTTCTTCTGGACACATAACAGTAGTTACCCCTCACACTCATACATAAGTCGTCTCTCTCTCAACTGAATCTTTCTCCTCTGTCTGCATTTAACCATGTTCACATCTCTCCCAGTTTAAAAAAAGAGAAACCCCTGCCTTTGCCCCAGCTTTCTTGGAAGCTACACCCCGTTTAACCTTTCTTTTCCAACAGACTTACTTGCCTGTATTCCCTGTCTCCATTAGCATCTCTCTCACTGACTTCTGGCTTTCAACTCTACCTAAAATAGCTCTCTGTTGGTTATACATGATCACAGCTCATTATCTTTATGATGGTAGTAGACTCATAATAGCACACGTCTATGACTAATGAATGTCTTTTTCCTCCACTAGTTAGTAGGCTTTCCCTTAGAACCTGGAATGGAGTCTTTCCCATAGAAGGTGCTTAATATTGATTCAATGAATGAAGAATACTGGTAACTCCTATTATATATGTTTCCCTCTTGCCTGTCCCATTTCCCTCTTACTCCTTTCTCTTAGCTGCTTTCCTGTGCTTCTAGCTTCTCTCTCCTTTTTCTTCTTTTTGCTCCCATGTTTGAATTCCACCTTACAGGGTTTTAAAGATTAAAAAATAATATGACATTGATTTGAAAACTATACAATACTATGAAAAGCTTGAGTGCTAAGATAGCAGACTTTTTAAGTGAGTACATGCGAATGCATTTTCTTGCTGCTTGGGAAAACTATAAAATACCATCAAAAGCTTAAGCACTAAGATAGGCTTTTTAAGTCATAGTACATCCTAATGCATTTTCCTGTTTCTCAGGATTAACTGTGGCTTCATGTCTCACTGTGAATTTGTGTATTGCTTCTTCTCTCTTCTTTTCTCAGTTGCTGTTGTTGCTAGAAGGACTAGTAGATGAACAGAATCAGCTCAGTGAGGACTTAGATGCAAAGAGACAGCTCTCTAGCAGTTTGGTGAAGTTCCATGCCCATCCAGAGAGGTAAGAGAATGGCTATTTTTTCCTTTTATTCCTTGTTGAAATTTTTATTTTTTTACTGTTGTATTCTTTTTATGCCTTTTCTTCTTCATTAAGTGTAGATGCTTATGATACTGAAAAGGGGATAAAAAACAGAGACAATGACTGGGCCACCCACGTTGTCATTTGTTTAATAAATTGCTCTGAGCCTTGGTTTCAAAATCTTAAGTCAGGAATAGTGCCTGTTTCACACAGCGATTGCAGAGATTAAATGAGAAGACAGCTTTGCTGTCTAAAACCATGCCTTGCATATAGTCAGCACTCAATATAGGTTCCCTTTCTTTTGTGATCCATGTCCTGTTAAAGGCTGTTCTATTATAAAAGTAAGGCTACATCCTGTCTCTACTGAAAATACAAAAATTCACAGGGCATGGTAGTGTGCGCCTGTAGTCCCAGCTACTCAGAAGGGTGAGGCAGGAGAATCACTTGAACCCAGGAGGCAGAGGTTGGAGTGAGACAAGATTGCGCCACTGCGCTCCAGCCAGGTGACAGAGACACTCCATCTCAAAAAAAAAAAAAAAAAAGTCTGGCTGTAAAGGGCACTGATATTATTTGATATCATTGAAGAAAATATATTAGTTGGGATGGCTAATATCACCCCAAGAGCACCTAGAGCCATCATGACGAACATATTTTCTTCTGCCTCTTGATTATTGGTCATATATATGATACCTCTCTGGGTCATTTAATATTCTCCTTTTCTTCATTTCACCTTCTACTCTTTATCATTTTTTTATTTTTTACTATTCACTTTTTTTCTAATTTATTGTTGGGCTTTAAAAATGTTTTCTTTGGGCCAGGGGCAGTGGCTCACGCCTGTAATGCCAGCACTTTGGGAGGCCGAGGCAGGTGGATCACGAGGTCAAGAGATCGAGACCATCCTGGTCAACAAGGTGAAACCTCGTCTCTACTAAAAATACAAATATTAGCTGGGCATGGTGGCGCGTGCCTGTAGTCCCAGCAACTCGGGAGGCTGAGGCAGGAGAATTGCTTGAACCCAGAAGGCGGAGGTTGCAGTGAGTTGAGATCATGCCATTGCACTCCAGTCTGGGTAACAACAGCAAAATTCCATCTCAAAAAAAAAAAAAGGTTTTCTTTGTATCAGGAAAATGAAGGCAGAGCAAAGGTATGATAGGACCAGTTGATTTTGTGACTTTTTTTTTTTCTTCAGAAAAGCGATTTATTAGAGAGAGTTTCCAGACAAGTTTGGGGGTTTTTTGAGATGGAGCCTTGCTCTGTTGCCGAGACTGGAGTGCGATGGCACAATCTCGCCTCACTTCAACCTCTGCCTCCCAGGTGTTGAAGCAATTCTCCTGCCTCAGCCTCCCGAGCAGCTGGAACTATAGGCACACACCATCATGTTCAGCTAATATTTTGTATTTTTAGCAACAATGGGATCTCACCATGTTGGCCAGACTGGTCTCAAACTGCTGACCTCATGAACCACCCACCTGGGCCTCCCAAAGTGCTGGGATTACGGGTGGGAGCCAACGTTCACAGCCAACATTGGTCTTTTCTGGCCTTTGGACTCGAGCAGAAATACTACTACTTCTTGTGTCTTCAGCCTGCCAACTTTCAAACTAGAACCTACACCATCGTCCCTCCTGGTCCTCAGGCCTTCAGTCTCCAACAGCAGCTAGACCGTCAGCTCTCCTGGGTCTCCAGCATTCTGCCTGCAGATCTTGGGGCTTCTCAGCCTCCATCGTCACATAAGCCAATTTCTTCTAATAAGTCTCTTTCTCTGGCATCTATAAATCTCCTATTGGTCCTTTTTATCTGGAGAAGCCTAATACAGTGGGGCCATGGATCCCAGAGAGAAGGTAGGGGTGAAGCAGGGAGCCCCATCCTAGCAGCTGGGTCCTAGGGCCCTCCCAGTCTCTTCTCTGAAGAAGTCCCAAGTCCTACCTAGAATCTCAAATAAAAATGGCAACAGAGCCCGGAAATGCCTTCTAGATCCATAGAGGAAGGGGTGTGGCTGGGTGACTTTCCACACTTGTCTGAGCTCTTTCCCCAGCAAGAAGACCCAAAATCTATCACCCTGTGTCCCCTACCCCAGCCCCAGGGAAACCTGGCTTTGTGGCTGCGGCTGAAGTAGGCACCTACCCCCCACTCCCTATCACCACTGCAGCCCCCTAAGAAACACATCTTTGTTGGCTCAATTTGCTGGCAGGAAATTCAGAGGGGCACAAATGACCATTCTCTGCAAAGAAAACCTGGGCTAATTAGGAGCCGAGGTGGGGAGGGGAGTCAAGGTGGGACTCTGTGGCCCATGGCGAGCATGTCCAAGCCCCCCATTTCTCAGAGAAGGTCAGGCTGCTCAAATGGAGTGGATGAAACGACTGGCCTCCCCGGGCTGACAGCTGGTGAGGAAATTGTGGGTGCTGACTCGTAAACCCAATGGCTCAATATTTATCAGGCAAGCAAGCTTTCCCCAGGTCCATCTATCAACTGAAGAAACGTCCCAGCCAACACCAGAGGGATCCAGCATTGACGGGTACAACAGCCACTATCACTTTCCCTGTTCTGTGTCCCCGCTTTGGTGGGCTCAGTGGGACAGAACTGGACCCCCTAACACCAAGAGGGAAACATGTAATGGGGATGGGGACACTGCTCCCCTGCTGAACCACAGCAGCTGGTGTGATTATTATGAACTTCTCAGTTCATCATAAGGTCTGGCGCTGCTGTAGGCAGGTCCACAAGTCAACTGGAGCAGACTCCTTTATTCTCTGCTGCAAAGATCCTCAGACTTCAATGTGAATCAGAGTGACTCGGCGTACTTGTTAAAGTGCAGATTCTAGGGTGATACCAGGTCAGATTCTGAGGAGGTGGGGCCCAGGAACCTGGGCTTTGTTTCCTTTGGTCTGTTTTGAGATGAGGCCTCACTCTGTTTCCCAGGCTGGAGTCCAGTGACACTATCACAGCTCAGTGGAGCCTCGACCTCCCAGGCTCAAGTGGTCCTCCCACCTCAGCCTCCCAAGTAGCTGAGACTACAGATGCATGCCACCACACCTGGCTGTATTTTATGAAATCTTTTCTGTAGAAATGGATTTTGCTAGGTTGCCTAGGCTGACTGCAAGCTCAAGCAATCTTTCTGTTTTGATCTTACAAAGTGTTGGGAATACAGGTGTCAGCCAACGTGCCCAACCTAGAATCTGTAAACACCTCCCCAGGTGATTCTGATGCAGGTCGTCCAGGAGCATTCTTGGAAGCCCTTGCTGCCCTGGTCATCCTCCCCTGTTCCCAGTGGCTCCCTCCACACCTGATCTGGCCTTTGGCCTCCCTGGCCTCACCCCCCATGGCTCACATGTGCCCCTGAGGGATGGGAGAAGGGACTCAGGCTGTTGTATCGCTAGCCAAGGCTCACTCCTCAGTGTCTTTTCCTGCAGCCATGGGGAGGGAAGAAATGATGGCATTTGGGCCAGCCAGATGGGAGCACACACAGCACACCCAGATCAGCCAAACAGCTGTTCTTTGTACAGCCAGACAGTAGAAGAAAATAGAAGTCTGAGGGCTTACCTTCTGCCAGGCCCCTTCAAGGGGACTGGGTGGAGAGTTAACCATTCACTGAGCACTACAATGTGTCTGGCCACAGGTGGTGCTTCATTTATTTATTTATTTATATCATGTCTGATCCAACCCCCGTCCTACAAGGCTGCTTGCAGAGCTGGGCTGGATTGGAGCATCTGGAGGCAACGTCACAGCCCATACTTTAAGCCACAGTGCCCTGCTGCCAAAAGGAATTCCACCGACTGACCCTCACTGGCCTATTCTCCCCACCTGCTGCCTCAGGCCTCACCATCAAAACCTATCAGCTCTGGATCCTGAAGCCCACAAAGCAGCCTTGGCATCACTGGGGAGAAAACAACAAAAGCTTAATATAAGCGGCAACACTTACAGAACCTGTGAACTCTGACCAGACTCTCAGATGCCCTGGCCTGAAGGGTCAGGAGGTTCCTGGAAACCCTCACTGCAGGCCTTGGCCAACCCTCCCACCGCATGGCTTCCACCCTCCGTCCCAAGTCCTGGGTGTGTGAGGCTGGAGACCACAGCTGCCAAGTGCAGAAGAACGTCTGGGCCCAGCAGTCAGTCCGGCACCCCAGCCCCTCCACCACAGGGTTCATAGAAAATAAGATTTCAATGATATATGACAAGTAAGTATGGCCATAAAAGCCAAATTGGATTTCTTCCTGGCTGATGAGCTCAGGGCCCTATTCATTCTGAGATGCGATTAACAAATCTGTAGAACAATTCCCCCAACATCTCATCTTGGGTTCTTGCTGCAAGTTCAAGCTTGGGGTCAAGGGAGGTGGAGGAAGCAGGCAATCTGTGCCTGGGGCATCACAAGTGGCCCAGGGACTTCAGGTTGGAACCTTCCTGGACACGGGCCTGCTGTGTGGCCTAGCACATGTCCCGTCACATCTCTGGATAGGTAGTTTCTTCATCTGGTAGATGGGGAGCGGGAAGAGACGCTGTCTAAACCCTCTGCCTCTGATTCTCAGTCACCACCCAGTTGGGGGAGGCAGAGCAAAGGGAGCTGGATGCTGGGAGAGGCTCCCCTTCACCTCTCTACAGAATCACTGGTGGGGGCAGCATGCAGGGGTCCTGATGTCTTTAGAGGGGACACGCACAGGGGCCAGGCTATGTGGCAAAAACAGATGAATAACCATGTGCTAGGTGCCATCAGCTTTGCTGGAACACAGCAGGTTGTCACTGGCCAGTTCCTAGCTCTGGGGAAGGCTTCGGAGACTGTGATCCCTTCTGCAGCCTCAGCACGCCCAGACCACAATCTGTGGGTCCAGGGATGTTGCAAAACTCTTCCTTGCTTCGAACCACCCAAAGAGAAGCTGGAGAATACATGGGAGGCTAAATGTGCTCAAACCTGCTAGGGGGCCACCATGAGGGACTCCAGATGGAGCTCTGGGAGAGAGCTGTACCCTCAGCCTCACTGCAGAGGACTGGGGATGGAGAGGGGACCCTCAAGCACTGCCCCAACCCAAATGCTGCTTTTCTCACAAAATGCTTGGGAGGCTCAGGGTTGCAGGAACTAAGAACCATGGCTCCCAGCCACAGAGACCAGGAAAGACCCAGCGAAGCCACCTGGGCTCAAAAATCACAGACCCCTTCCCTCGCACCCCCACCCTGCTCACTGCTGTTTATTGATCATCTCTGAGTGCCAGGCCCAGGCTAATCGCATATCCTCCCCTGTTCCCAGTGGGACCCTGCTCATTGGTGGAGTGCTATCCAACGTCTCATGGGCATGCCCCTCCCCACGCACCAGTTCTTCTTTGATAATAGGGCTCTGTCTCCTATTTGAATTTGGGCAAGTCTTTCCTTCTCCTGGGCCTCAGTTTGACCCTGACCCTGGGCGGTCCGCAGTGCAGAGGATGCCCACCCGGCTGACATGGGTACCACGTCTTTTTGGCAGCATCTTGGCAGTGTTTCCTTGGCACTCCTGGGATTTTCTTTGCAAGGTTAAGATTCTAGAGTCCAGCAGAGCTGAGTGTGATCCCACCAGCAACACTTACTAGCGATGTGCGTTGTGCAAGCAAATGAGCCTTGCTTTGCCTCACCTGATAAATGGGGTGGTTTTCAGGGTCCAGCAAGATATGCGATTAGCCCGGGCCTCGCACTCAGAGATGATCAATAAACAGCAGTGAGCCTATGACAAAGGGCCTTTTTCCTGCCCCTATGGGAAGGAGGACCTCATTCGTAGGTAAAGAATCCACCCTCTCAGTGGCTCACTTGTCCAAGCCCGATCCCAGTGCCAGCCTCAATGTGCCTGTCGACAAAATGGGAAGATGGAGGGCCCCATAGCAGCATCCAGGCTGCTGAGTTCCCAAAGTAGACACAGCTGAGCATTTCTGGGTGCAGGGGCAGAAAGAGTTTCAGTGCCAAGAGCTGGGGGCAGGACAGGGTTCACTGCCCAGCCGGGTCACCCTCGCTGGCATTTTTGCCTCTCTAGGAAAAGCCATCTTGTAAAGCAGAGACGACTGCTGACTTCCCACTCTGGTGGTGGAGAATCTGAAATGAGAAAATGGATTCTCAAAAATCTCTGTTACTAAGTAAGCCTGAGAGAGTTCAATGGAGGCAGAAACAGATGCCTGCACTGAGGGACTGGACCCCTCTTACCTGGCTTCCCTGGGTCCCAGAGCAGGGCCTGTGACCAACAAACACCCCCCGCCAGGAGTGTCAATTAGCTGGAATCTGTTTCACTCTTAGGAAGAAGTGGGAAATGCACTTACTCATTCATTCATTCAACAGTTTTCTGCAAGTCCACTGGGTGCCAGGCACTGTGCTAGGTACCCAGGCTACAACTGTGAACAGAACATTCCTGTCCTGAAAGAGGTCACCGTCTGGCTGGGGAGACAGGTATTAAAAAAAGAAACAGGCAAACAAACACGCAGCTGCAAATATCCCTAAATGCCCTGAAAGGAAAACTCATGAGCCGAGGGCATGCAGGAAATAAAAAGGAGCTGGGGGAGGAGCAGGCAGGGCAGGCCTCCCTCTGGAGGTGACATTTACCAAGGGTCCTGAGGACTGAGCCAGAGGTAGTCTGGTGAGGAGGAAAGGAATTCCAGGCAAAGGGAACAGTGTGTGGGAGCTCTGAGCCTGGAGACCGGAAGGAACACTGGCATGTGTGCAAGGACAATGCCTGCGTGGCCCAGAAGCCAGCAAGGGGAGGAGTCCGTGGAAGCACAGTTAGGCAGGGTTATCCTAAGGATCTTGATTTTTGAAAATGGCCACAAAGGAGGCTCCTGGGGACTTAAACTAAAATACACACCCCTGTTTTTCAAAGTGATTCCCAGGATTGGGCTTATAGTCAATCCCATTTCACTCACCTTCTACCTGTTTCAATCTGAAGGCACTGGGCAATCTAGAATCAGAAATGGATTTCATTACACTCTGCACATTGCACTATGAAAGAAAAGGAATGCTGAGGCTGGGCACAGTGGCTCATGCCTACAATCCCAGCACTTTGGGAGGCTGAGACGGGCAGATTGCTTGACTTTGGAGTTCCAGACCACCCTGGGCAACATAGTAAAACCCCATCTCTACAAGAAACACAAAAATAAGCCAGGCATGATGGTGCATGCCTATTGGTCCCAGCTACTCAGGAGGCTGAGGTGGGAGGATAGCTTCGGCCCAGGAGCTTGAAGATGCAGTGGGCCAGAATCACACTACTGAGCTCCAGCTTGAGCAGCAGAGTGAGTTTTCTGTTTCCGTGAAAGAAAGAAAAAGAGAAAGAGAGAAGAGGAGGGAGAAGGGGAAAGGAAGGGAAGGAGGAAGGAAGACTTTTAACAGGAAGATTAGAATTACAGTTGGATGTGAGGTTAGAGTTGAATTTTAGGTTGGGTTTAGAGTCGGGTTGGGGTTAGAGTTGGTTTGGTGTTTGGTTGGGCTTGGGATTCAATTTAGGGTTGGGGTTAGGACTGGGGTTAGCATGGGTTTGGGATTAGGGCTGGCTTTAGGATTGTGGTTGGTATTTGGGTTAGGTTTGGTTTGGGGGTTAGGGCTGGGATTATGGGCCTGCACTCCACTAAGTATACATACGTCACTGGCCCCAAACAGAATAGATTTGTTTAATGAATGAATTTCGACGTTTCATTGCAAACCAGCAAGACAAAGTGACCAGCCAGCCTTAATTCCATGGATATTCTAGTTTTCTTCTTTGGATTAGCCTAAGAACAGGCTAGAAAAATTCACCTGTGCACTAATTTCATATTGTTCTTTCTAAAGTGGAACTGAAAAGCATACCACAGTAGGAAGCAAGAGAGACATAGTCTGTGTGTGCATTTCAAGCAGGTGACCAAGAAAGGAGAATTGGGGCCCGGGAAATGAGAGTCACAGGGTGGGGTGGAGGCAGGTCCCCAGCAGTTTTTATTACAAGGCTGCAGGAAGCAGGGAGCAAGACACTGTCAGGAGGTCAGAGGAATCAGGGCAGACTGGAAGGTGGAATTTGGATGAGGATTTCAGGAAGGGAAAAGGTGGGAAGGTGAGCAGTAGAGCTGAAGAGCTGGGTGGGCCACAGGTCATGGAAAGTCCTCTGAGCCATGCAGATGTAACTCGAGTAACTCTGGGGCCATGTGGTCTGGAACTCTGCAGAGTCTCATTAAAGCAGCTTGGGGCAGCACCTAATATTCTTTATAGGGACTGTCAATATTTTTTATGTCACACTAAGGAGAGTCCAATTTATACCCCTCGGCAGGACCTCTCAGCTCCCCACACCTCTCCCTCCAGGACCCTCGTACTGTGTGCCACCCCCACCCTTCTTTCTGCTCACTCGGTTCTTCTTCAGACCATCCAGCTTAGCCTCAGTCACTCCAGTTCTTTTTCTTTCTGTTTTCCCAGAGTCCCTTTGAGAGAGAACAGCACAGCTCACCCAGCAAGTACACATCTCAGCCTCTCCCAACCTGCTGCAGTCCCGTCCCCTCAGTCATCCTCCAGAAGATCCTGACCAGACTGGAAAAAAGGGGGTGCATGGTGGAGAGCCCAACCGGCAAGGTGAGGACTCAGTCTCATGAGACGCAGGTGAGCAGGGAACACTTCTGTATCTTGTTCCTGTCCTAGTACAAAGATCCCACTGTCTCCATGGACAATGGGGAACCATGGGGGTTTTGAGCCGGAGTGGAGCAGGCAGATTCATGAGTGCCTGGAGAGCAGAGATCTGGATGTTTGTGGGCAACCCCTCCCCCACCAGCACCAACAAGATTCTGCTTAAATACGTGATAAGTAGTCCGGGCGTGCTGGCTCACGCCAGTAATCCCAGCACTTTGGGAGGTTGAGGCAGGCGGATCACCAAAGGGCCGGAGTTGGAGATCAGCCTGACCAACATGGAGAAACCCTGTCTCTACTAAAAACACAAAATTAGCTGGGTGTGGTGGCACATGCCTGTAATCCCAGCTACTCGGGAGGCTGAGGCAGGAAAATTGCTTGAACCCAGGAGGTGGAGGTTGCTGTGAGTTGAGATCACACAATTGCACTCCAGCCTGGGCAACAAGAGCGAAGCTCTGTGTAAAACAAAACAAAATAGAATGTGGTGAGTAAAGAGGTCAGTGGTGAATGAATTCCGTTTTTTTTTTTTTTTTTGAGACAGAGTCCCACTCAGTCGCCCAGGCTGGAGTGCAATGGTGTGATCTCAGCTCACTGCAATCTCTGACTCCTGGGTTTAAGCAATTATCTTGCCTCAGCCTCCCGAGTAGCTGAAATTATAGGTGACCACTGCAACGCCCAGCAAATTTTTTTGAAATTTTAGTAGAGACAGGGTTTCTCCATGTTGGCCAGGCTGGTCTCAAACTCCTGACCTCAGGTGATTCACCCACCTCCGCCTCCCAAAGTGCTGGAATTCCAGGCATGAGCCACCATGTCTGGTTTTTTTGTTTGTTTGCTTTTTGAGACAGGGCCTCACTGTTGTCCAGGCTGGAGTGCAATGGCGTGAACTCAGCTCACTCGCTGCAGCCTTGACCTCCCTGTGGCTCAAGCAATCCTCCCACCTCAGCCTCCTGAGTAGCTAGGACTATAGGTGCATGCCACCACACCCAGCTAATTTTTTTTTTATTTTTGAAGAGATGGGGTCTCACTATGTTGCCCAGGCTGGTCTTGAACTCCTGAACTCAAGCAGTCTGCCCGCCTTGGCCTCCCAAAGTGCTGGGATTTACAGATGTGAGCCACTGCACGCAGCCGGGAGTGAGTTCTTGAACTCAATGTACAGTCTGGATTTTCGTGCAGGGCTCAAAGACTGCAGAACACTTGCACCCTCCCCATCACCTCTCTCAGCCCTTGTTCCTCATTCTTTGTGTCAGCCAGAGGTCTTGCAACAGTGACCTTCAAGCTAGTAAGGGATGAGGGACCCAGGCTCCCCAACCCCCCACAGTGGAGTCTCTGGACTGGCTCCATCAATCTGCTGGGAATGACCCCTGGTCCCCTAGGCAAGACCCATGATGCACGGGAAACCTCCTAGCATTGGCTCTGGCTGTCATTCTGGTTTCCAGCAACATATAAAAATAGCTTCAAGGACGTGCAGGGCCTGGAGAGGGAGACCTGGCCCCTGGCTTCCAGGGGAGCTAGCTACACCCAACTCCCATCTCTCCTTCTTCAAGGCCCCCCTGCTGCCCTCTTACTCTGGCTTTGAACCCTGCTCTGTATTTACCTGTGGACTATGGGCCTAAACCCACAGAGCTCCTCCATCAGCAGTTCCATCATCAAGACAAGCAGTCGTAGAAGTCATGATGGGGAAGTGGCTTAAATTCCTTCCACTGCCAACCATGAGCTTGATGAGATCCACAGGGCCCCTGTGCATGATGGAAGCACAGAAGCTGCAGTCCAGGGCTGAGCCTGGAGGCTGCGGATAACCAGGGAGCCAGTGGCGAGGGACGGGGCTGACCAGCTGTAGGGGCCTTGCAAGGCTCTGCCAGGTGCTTCCAGACCCCCAAAAACAACAGTGAGGCCAGTGTGTGCTCCAAACCACCCTCCAGCACCATACAGAGCAGGCCCAGGGACTGGGAGAGACCTCAATAGCAGGAGCAGCCCCAGCCAGGGTGGAAGGGGAGGAGAGGGGAGGAGAAACCCAGTGACCTCAGGCACCTGGTGAGTGCAGACTGTGCCAGGTGCTGTGGGCCCATCCTCTCTGTGAAGGAGTGTCATGATTCATACCCAAGATACAAATGAGCAGAGGGAGGCTCCGAGATGGGTGACTGACCACACGGCACGTGGGGCACAGAGCTCACAGGGCAGAGGCAGGATTTCAACCCCAGGGACTCAGGAGCCTGTGCAGGAAAGGCAGGGGCCCCTGGGTAAACACTCAAGGCAGAGGCCTCTTTTCTAACATGCTTCCCAAAGGCCCCAAAATAGATCTGCTTACTAACGAGGTCTCCTCCCCTCCACTCCGCAAATACCCAGGTTCCCAGGCCCAGCCCAGGGCGGGGCTGCAGGAGTCAGTGCCTGGCAGGACCTATTTCTGGCTGCCACCTGGCCTGGCCACAAGCAGCCTTCTGTGGTGGCCTCAGCCACAGCCCACAGTGGAGGCACAGGCTTGGCCCAGCCTCCAAAGGCCGCATTGTCTGGCTGCCTGGGCTACTGAGCCTGGCTCCTGGACATCCGAGTTGGGGCAGAGGCTGACCTAGGGCAGAGGTGGAGGTCTCTGCGGACTGAGGGCCTCTGTGATGGCCGCAGCCAGCTCTGAGGACGTTCCAGTGTCTGCTGCACCCTTGCAAGAGGAAAACAGTTTTCACCTTGGGATGGGCCTCGGCTGGCCTCAGAGGTGAGCACATCCTCCCCAGCTCACACACAGGCACACACACGTGCACACACATACATACACATGCACACGCACACATACACATGTGTGGCACACATGCACATGCACACACACACAAATGCCCTCACACGTGTACACACACATGCACATGTGCACACATGCACATGCACATAAACGCACACACACATGCACATGCACTCACACACACAGGTGTCAACTGCTGGGTGCAGCCATCAAGTCCACAGAGACATGCAAAGGTGAGAGCCAGGCCTCAGCACCTGGTAGGCTGGGATTCTCGTCCCAGCTTTTCTGTGATATCCTCCGATACACAGGGCGTCATCTAATTTCCCAGATATTCTCATCAGGGTCATTTGTTCCAAGTCAGAATCCAGGTAAGATCTCCGTATTGCATGTGGTTGTTATGTCCTATTGGGTTTTTTGTTTGTTTGTTTGTTTTGTTTTTTTGAGACTGAGGCTTGCTCTGTTGCCCAGGCTGGAGTGCAATGGCACCCTCTTGGCTCACCACAACCTCTGCCTCCCTGGTTCAAGTGATTCTCCTGCCTCAGCCTCCTGAGTAGCTGGGATTACAGGTGCACAACACCACACCCGGCTAATTTTTGTATTTTTAATAGAGACAGAATTTCACCATGTTGGTCAGGCTGGTCTTGAACCCCTAACCTCATGATCCGCCTGCCTCAGCCTCCCAAAGTGCTGGGATTACAGGCATGAGCCACCATACCTGGCTCCTCTTGCTTTTTAAAAAGTTTTCATTTCATGCCATCGACCATATTGAAGAAACAGGGTCAGTATCCCACAAATGTCCACAGCCTGGATTGGTCTGTTTGCTTCCTCACTGTCTTTCTTTTTTTTTTTTGAGACAAAGTCTCACTCCATCGCCCAGGCTACAGTGCAGTAATGCAATTTTGGCTCACTGCAACCTCCACCTTCTGGGTTCAAGTGATTCTTTTGCCTCAGCTCCCTGGGTAGCTGAGACTATAGGTGCCCACCACATTTTTGTGGTGTTAGTTTTTAGTAGGTGTTTTTAGTAGAGATAGAGTTTCGCCATGTTGGCCAGGCTTGTCTTGAACTCTTGACCTCAAGTGATCCACCTGCCTCAGCCTCCCAAAGTGCTGGGATTACAGGCATAAGTCATCATGCCCGGCCCCTCACAATGTCATTTAACTTGTTTCTCTCTCCCTGTATTTCCTGTGACTTAGGGATGAGCTCCCTCTCTTTTTGAATAACTGCTTATTCACATGCCATAACGTTCACCTTTTTTCTTTTTGAGATGAGGTCGCACTCTATCACCCAGGCTGGAGTGCGGTGGTGCTATCAGGCTCCCTGCAGCCTCAACCTCCCAGGCTCAGGTGATCCTCCCACCTCTGCCTCCTGAGTAGCTGGGACCACAGGCATATTCCTTTACACCTGGCAATTTTTATGTTTCTGTAGAGACAGGGTTTCACCATGCATCATGCTGTCCAGGGTGGTCTTGAACTCCTGTGCTCAAGCAATCTGCCTGCCTCCAATTCACCCTTTTAAAGTGAACAACGCAGTGGTTTTCAGTCTGTTCAGAAAGCTATCCAACCATTCCCACTGTCAAATTTCAGAATGTTTTTCTCCCCCAAAAGAAACTCGTTACCCATAAGCAGTCACTCCCCATGCTGCCCTCCTGCCAGACCCTGGCAGCAATTCCTCTCTCTCTCTCTCTCTCTCTCTGTCTCTCTCTCAATCTCTCTGTGTCTCTGGATTTGCCTGTTCTAAACATCTTATGTCAATGAAATCTCAGGAAATATGGCCTTTGTATCTAACTGCTGTAACTTAGCACCATGTTTTCAAGGTTCACCCATGACCAAGTATCAGTACTTCATTCTTTTTTATTGCCAAATAATATTCCATTGTAGGATAGGCCACATTTGATTTATCCATCCATCAGTTGATGGATATTTGAATTGTTTCCATCTTTTGGTGATTATGAATAATGCTGTTATAAGTATTTAAATGCTTGGGCAGGCAAGGTGACTCATGTCTGTAATCCCAGCACTTTGGGAGGCAAAGGCAGGTGGATCACTGAGGTCAAGAGTTTGAGAGCAGCCTGGCCAATAAAGTGAAACCTCAACTCTACTAAAAGTACAAAAATTAGCCAGGCGTGGTGGCACATGCCTGCAATTCCAGCTACTTGGGAGGCTGAGACAGGAGAATCACTTGAACCCAGGAGGCAGAGGTTGCAGTGAGCCGAGATTGCATCATTGGACTCCAGCCTGGGTGACAAGAGCAAACCTTTGCCTAAAAATAAAAATAAAATGCTTGTAATGTGCTTGTTTGTGTGTCTGTGTTTTCAGTTCTCTTGGGTATATACCTAGTGGAATTGCTAGTTCATAGTAACTCCATATTTACCTTTCTGGGGAACTGCCAAGCTGTTTTTCAAAGCAAATGCACCATTTGACAATGCTACGAGCAATGTATGAGGGGTCCCCTCTCTTTACATCCTCACCAGCACTTGTTTCTGTCCATCATCCTATAAAGGTGAAGTGGCATCTCATTGTGGTTTTGAGCTGCACTTTCCTAGTGACTAATGGTGTTGACATGCATGTGCTTGTTGAAATTTGCATGTCTTCTTTGGAGGAATGTATATTCAAATCCTTCACCCATTTTCAAATTGGATTGTCTTCTATTAGTGACTTGTTAAGAGTTCCTCATGTGTTCTAGATATAAATCCCTTGTCAGATATGTGATTTGCAAAATTTTCTCCCTATTCCATGAGTTATCTTTTCATTTCCTGGTGTCTTTTGAAACACAGACATTTTTAATTTTGATGAAGTTCGCTTTGCTGTTTATGTTTTGTCCGTGTGCTTTTTGTGTCATATGTCTAATCCAAGGTCACAAAGATTTACTCATCTGTAGATATTTGAGACAGGGTCTCACTCTGTCACCCATGCTGGAGTGCAGTACTGTTATCTGGACACACTACAACCTCTGCCTCCCAAGTTCAGGTGATTCTCCCACCTCAGCCTGGGATTACAGGCACCTGCCACCATGTCCCGCTAATTTTTATATTTTTAGTAGAGTCAGGGTTTTGCCATGTGGGCCAGGATGGTCTCAAACTCCTGACCTCAGGTGATGTGCCCTCCTTGGCCTCCCAAAGTGCTGAGATGACAAGCATGAGCCACCATGCCTGGCCTTTACTCCTACATTTGTATCCAAGAGTTTTATAGTTTTAGCTCTTACATTTAAGTCTATGACCCATTTTGAGTTAAGTTCTGTATATGGTGTGAGGTCAGGATCCAATTTCCTTCTTTTGATTTGGATATACAATTGTCCACACCATTTGTTGAAAAAAATCTGTTCTTTCCCCTCATTGAATGGTCTTGGCACCTTTGTCAATAATCAGTTGAACATAAATGTACAGGTCTATTTCTGGACTCCCACTTCTATTCCATTGATCTCTAGGCTATTCTTATGCCAGTGCCACATAGTCTCATTACTATATCTGTGTAGTATGTTTTGAAATGAGAAAGCGTGAGTTCTCCAATTTTGTTCTTTTTCAAGATTGCCTGGCTATTCTGGGTCTCTTGCATTTCCATGTAAATTTTAGGACCAGCTTGTCAATTTCTGCAAAAAGCCAGCTGGAATTTTGATAGGGAATGAATTGAATACATAAATCAGTTTGTTTGGTAGTGCTATTTTAACAATATTAAGTCTTCAAATCCATGAACACAGGGTGTCTTTCTGTTTACTTAAGTCTTCTTTTTTTTTTTTTTGAGATGGAGTCTCCCTCTCTTGCCAGGCTGGAGTGCAGTGGTGTGATCTCAGCTCACTGCAACCTCTGCCTCCTGTGTTCAAGCAATTCTCCTGCCTCAGCCTCCTGAGTGGCTGGGATTACAGGTGCACACCACTACACTGTTAATTTTTTTATTTTTAGTAGAGATGGAGTTTCACCACATTGGCCAGTATGGTCTCAATCTCCTGACCTCATGATCCACCCACCTCAGCCTCCCAAAATGCTGGGATTAAAAAGTGCCCAGCCTAATTAGGTCTTCTTTTAATTTCTTTTTTTTTTGAGACAGAGTCTCACCCTGTTCCCCAAGATGGAGTCCAGGGACATGATCACAGCCCACTGCAGCCTCAACCTCCCAGGCTCAAGTGATCCTCTCACCTCTGCCTCCAAGTAGCTGGAATCACAGTCACATGCCAGCATGCCTAGCTAATTTTTTTTATTTTGTATAGACAAGCTCTCCCTATGTTTCTCAGGCTTGTCTTGAACTCCTGGGCTTAAGCAATCCTCCCGGCTCTGCCTCCCAAAGTCCTATGATTACAGTCATGAGCCACCATGCCTGGCTTCTTTACATTTCTCTCAACTATGTTGCATACAAATCTACACGTTAAATTTATTCCTGAGTACTTTTTTATGCTAATGTAAATAGAGTTGTTTTCTTAATTTCATTTTTGGAGTGTTCATTGCTAGTGTATAGAAATACAGTCTGTTTTTGTATATTGATCTAGTATCCTGTAACATTGCAAAATACATTTATTAGTTCTAATTTGTATATGTGTGAATGCGTGTGTGTGTATTCCTTATGATTTTCTATATACATGATGTGATCTGTGAATAGAGGTCATTTTAATTCTTTCTTCCTAATCTCGATGACTTCTATTTCTTTTTCTAGCCAAATTGTCCTAGCTAGAAACTTTGATACATTGTTGGATAGAAGTGAAAAGAGTGGGCATTCCTGTTTTGTTCCTGATCTTAGGGGGAAAGTTTTCAGTCATTCACCATTAAGCATAATATTAACTGTGGGGTTTTTTTGTTTGTTTGAGACAGAGTCTCACTCTGTCACCAGGCTGGAGTGCAGTGGCATGATCTCAGCTCACTGCAACCTCTGCTTCCCAGGTTCAAGCAATTCTCCTGCCTCAGCCTCCAAGTAGTTGGGACTACAGGTGTATACCACCATGCCCAGCTAATTGCTTGTATTTTTAGTAGAGATGGGGTTTCACCGTGTTAGCCAGGATGGTCTCAATCTTCTGAGCTGGTGATCTGCCCGCCTCAGCCTCCCAAAGTTCTGGGATTACAGGTATAAGCCACTGCGCCTGGCATATGAGTTTTTTATACATGCACACAGGCAGAATTTTAATCCAGACCTGTATTTGTCTGTTCTTACACTGCCAAAAAAGACACACTGGATAGAATTTATGAAGAAAAAGAGGTTCATAAAAGCATCTTACAAAGAAAAGAGGTTTGATGGACTCAGAGTTCCACGTGGCTGGGGAGACCTCAAATCATGGCAGAGGGAAAAGGAGCAAAGGCATGTCTTACACAGCAGCAGGCAAGAGAGCATTGCAGGGGAACTGCCCTTTATAAAACCATCAGATCTCATGAGACTTACTATTCCTATCACGAGCATATCATGGGAAAAACACACCCTTGTGATTCAAATACCTCCCAACGAGTCCCTCCCGTGACATGTGGGCACTATGGGAGCTACAATTCATGATGAGATTTTGGTGGGGACACAGCTAAACCATATCAAGATCCAATGTATTCCAAAGCCCTGACTCTTTTCTTAGCCCTAAGATAGGGAAGATAAGAGGGGTGGCCTCATCAGGGAGGCCTGCAGGGACAAAGTTCACAGAAGCATCAAAACTTGAGTTGGGCTTGAAGGGTCTGGGTGATTTGAGATGAGTCAGTTCAGCCGGGAATACCAAGCCCCACTGATAATCCTGTCCTCATCACCCCTACAGCCTTAGAAGGCCCTCAATCAGGCAGAACAAATGTGGGGAGCCCAGCATCACAGAGGGCCCTGCAATTTACTACCCACACCCTCAGCTCCATCCCTCTCTGAGGCAGAATGCCCATGAAAAAAGAAAGAAGAACAGTTGACATTAGCTCAGGTGGGAGGGACGGGGTGGACAAAAAGGAGGCAGCTGGGTGGGGAGGTCAAGAGCACAGACTTGGGAGCCAGACTTCTGGGTTGGAGCTGCCACCACTGGGTCCCAACAGGACACCCAAAAGGGTATCCTCAAGGAAGTCACTTCAGCTCCCTGAGTGTGACTTTTCTGTGTAACAGGAAGAGTGACAAAATCCACCTCCCAGATTCTCAGTGAAGGTAACATGGATGAGCCTGGGAAGGTGCTCAGTGCAGCATGAAGCAGGGTCTGGGCATTCCATCAGTGCTGGTTGTCATTGCCTTATCATCACTGTCACTCTTGCCACCATTTACATGGCTGCTGCTGGTGTGACGGTGGCCCTCCTGAGTGCCTGTGCTGCACCCCTCACCATGTGGGACCCAGCTTAAAACAGGAAGCCTCCCCCAATGACTTCCTCCACCAAGGCAAGAACTGTGTCAGCTCAGAAGGCATCCAGGGCCCAAATGCGGCTCCAGAGTCCAGGAGTCATAGTCATGCCACACACTCCAGAGATGTTGCCTCATGAAATCCCCACCACGACGTTAGAAAGGAACAATCATTATCCCCATTTTACAGAAGAGAAAACCGAGACCCAGAGAAGTTGAGCTATTTGTCTAAGGCTCAACAGCTAGGAAGGGGTGGAGATGGATTTGGACCAGGGTCATTTCTCCTTCCTGCTGGGATACACCCTTCTCTCCAAACCCTGACCCACTTGGAAAGTTCAAGTAGTCACCTTGGGGTGAGAAAGATGGAGCCCAGATGGACGTCCAAAAGCATTCCCATCCTGTCCTCCTAGAGGGGTCCAGGACAGGAGGATGTGAGGGTCAGGATCTCCATGAAGCAGAACCTGCACTGGTGACAGAAGCATCACATCAGGCTCTGGGATCTACAGTTCAGGCCGGGTGAGGTGGCTCATGCCTGTAATCCCAGCACTTTGGGAGGTCAAGACTGGAAGATCACTTGAACCCAGGGGTTCGAGACCAGCCTGTGCAAAGAGTGAAACACTGTCTCTGTTTGATTTTTTAATTAAAAATTAAAAAAAAAAAGATTTATAGTTCAGATCCCAAGCACCCTAGAGACCCTGTACTGGGCATCTCTTACAGGCTCAGGGGCCATCTGGGGACCCTTGGAGACCCACACTAAGCTGGAGCCAATCGAAGGTCCCTGGAGCTTCCAGCCAAGCTGCTGAGAGGTTCCCTCTCCCCCATCCTTATGCTGAGTTTTGGAGCTGCATACAGGAGTTCACATTTCCTGATCCTAAAATCCTCCTGCAAGTTTCAGACACCAGGGGAATCTTTGTGAATCTGAATTCCACCCAAACGGAGCCGGCACCTCCTCCAGCTCTGGGTCCCACAGCACAGAGCCCTCCTCTGCCTCCCTCTGTCCCTCCCTCAGTCTGCCGGGGCGCCTGTTGTACTTTCTGGGTCATTCACTCCTTGTTTCTCACTCCACAAAGTCACTCACCTCTGAGGGTGGGGGTAGGGGATTCCTAGGCAACAGAAACAATAGCGGAGGACAATGACTAACACTCTTTCTCCATCTTGTAGTCTGTAAATCTCTCTCATTCAAGCATTCAGCAGATTTCCTGTGCAGCTGTGCCAGGCATGGTAGGGACCGGGACCCAGGCCCCTGCATCCAGGAGCCTCCCGTCCGGGGGGAGACCTGAACCACCATCTGTAAGCCCCTACTCTGCCTGAAGCTCCACATCATCCACCAAAAGCTCACAACAACTCCATGCAGCTTGGCCTATGTACTTATGAATAAATACTTCGCTTTATCTAGAAAATATTGACCAGGCTCAGTGGCTCACATTTTGTAATCCCAGCACTTTGGGAGGCTGAGGTGGGCAGATCACCTGAAGTCAGGAGTTCCAGACCATCCTTGCCAACATGGTGAAACCCCGTCTCTACTAAAAATGCAAAAAAATTAGCTGGGCGTGGTGGCAGGCACCTGAAATCCCAGCTACTTGGAAAGCTGAGGCAGGAGAATCACTTGAACGCAGGAGGCAGAAGTTGCAGTAAGCCGAGGTCACACCTTTGCACTCCAGCCTGGGCAACAGAGTGAGACTCCGTCTCAAAAAAAAAAAAGTAAAAATAAATAAATAATTAAAATAAAAAATATCCATTGAGCAGTTACTAAGTGCCTGGTCTGTGCAAAGAATGATTCCCAAATGACAAAGATGTCCCAGGTCCCTGCCTCCCTGGAAGGTGCTCCCCAGTAGGAGAGGCGGTTCCTGAACAAGACAAGACAGGGGAGGGAGGAAAGGAGGGCCCCCAGCAGCAGTAATCGCTGCAGATGAAAACACAGGCAGGAAAATGTAACAGAAGTGATCACCTTTAAATCGTCTAAGGAGGCAACATTTCAACTGAGAACGGAAGGTTGAGAAGGAGCCAGCCACATGGAGCACACGGAAAAGCACTCCAGGTCGAGGAACCACCAGCATGGAACCCTGAAGTGGGAGCTGGCCCAAAGGCCAGTGTGGCTGGAGTGCAGTGAGCCATGGCATGGGTGGGGAGAGATGAGGCCAGCAAAGAGCAGGCTGGATCAGGGATGCTGGGGACCCAGGGTGGAAACAGGAAGGATGAGTCAGGGTCTTGGGGGTTTGAGCAGGGGCATTGCCCAGCTGCCGTGTGGAGCCTTCCAGCAGGGAGATGGTGACAACCCAACCTGTGTGGGGGCCACGGGCATGGACCAGCATGTGGATTGATGTGGACAGACCAGTGGGTTGTGGTTTGGATGCAGGAAGTGAGGAAAAGAGAGGAAGCAGTGACAGCCCCCAGGTATCTGTCCAGAGTAATGGTTGAATATTCTTTTCACAGCCGAGACATTTCTGGAGCTTCCTGCCATGTCCATCCTCCCCTGGTCCTCTCCTTCTTGCTACCCCATTTTGTGGGGGAGGTGGGCAGAAGAGGTAGCTTCTAGTGCACCCACTATCTGTGTGGCCTTGGACAGTCACTGTCCCTCTCTGGACTTGGTTCTCCTCACCTGTAAAATGATCAACCTCACCTTTTCCTCCATCACTGAGGCCCAGTACGGAGACAGCACTCACTATATTTTAAAGCACTTTACAATGTGCAAGAATGCTGGCTGGGCAAGTGGTGGCTCACGCCTGTAATCCCAGCATTTTGGGAGGCCAAGGCCGAGGATCGCTTGAGGTCAGGAGTTAGAGACCAGCCTGGACAACATGGTGAAACCCCATGTCTACTAAAAATACAAAAACTCATCCAGTGTGGTGGTGGGCACCTGTAATCCCAGCTGCTCAGTAGGCTGAGGCAGGAGAATCACTTGAACCTGGGAGGCGAAGGTTGCATTGAGCCAAGATCACGCCATTACACTCCGGCCTGGGCAAAAGAGAGAGACTCTATCTCAAAAAAAAAGAATATTACCATCATGCCCGAAAATCCCAGAAGGAAATGTGCTTCTCTGTCACAGCCAAGCCTTTGCTAAGGGGCTTCTGCATATTCCAGA